GATAAGAATAGTATTAATATAATAGACTCACACGTATGTGTACCGAATCCTTGTCACTTTTTATTCGCGTGATGATGAATTCCACGCTTTATTCGATAAATGTTATCCTATTAACGATTCTCCTCGCTGACCCGGCTGCTTGGTACGGAATGCATACGCATAAGCATATCCGTCTACCACCCAGCACCAAATGGTTAAGTTGAACGGTTTCACTGCCAACTTAAAAGTGTTCTACGAGCACACGAAAACGGCAACTGGCACGAAACCATACCGCTCGTTCTTTTAGGGGCGAGAACGAGCTTAAAGGCAGATATCCAATGTTCCGCCACTGAACTTGTATACGGCACGACATTGCGTCTGCCCGGAGAATTCTTCACACCACGGAGCAGACCTAATTTCGGTAAATCAGACTACGTCCATCGACTGTCTGCATTTATGCGAACGCTGTCTCCGGTGTCAACTCGAATACAACATCGACAGGTCGCTCTCGAGAGAGAGTTATCTACCTGTTCACATGTTTTTGTACGAGTAGATTCGGTACGCAAACCTTGGCAACAACCTTACGAAGGCCCTTTTCACGTGATCGCTCGTCACGAAAAGACCTTCAAGGTTGATCGATATGGACGCGTCGAGATCGTCAGCATTGATCGTCTCAAACCAGCACACGTCGATGACAGTGCCCTATCTGACAACCTGAGATTCAATGCTAGACCTAGCAAACCTACTAGCGGGATCCTCAAATCATCTACAGGTCCCACGCTAGATACATCTGAGACCTCATTCTCACGTCCTGGTCAACAGCACGCGTCATCTGCACCGTCTACGGACGAGACAACAGTCTCACGTCCAGATCAGCAGACCACGCCGCCTCTGACCTCGGATGAGATTGCAGGCTCACGCGACGCGAACGAGACTGCCGTCTCACGTTCCGGTCGCCGAGTACGGTTACCCGTACGCTTCCTCGACTAGTCGCACAGTCGACAACCGATACGGTGTAGGAATATTCCTATGCTACTTGTATGCTACACTCTTCTTTTTTGATTTTCTTTTTGTTTCCTGAGCCCACGCCTTCGACCATCTCCGTTTGGTTCCGTCGACTTCAGTCAACTTTGGCGAAAGCTGGATTGGCCACCCACGCTCTTGTCAACGTACTCAGTCGATATATTGGTTTCGAATGCTTGGCACACGCTTGGTCTCGAACTTGGTCGTTACGGTCGCTTCTGGTCTTTTGGCTCAACGTGGTTTCGTCCTACGTCTGCAGCGTTTCTGGTACGCAGTCCTACGAACGCCCTCTTCAGATTCTGGATACAAACCACTCTGGTGTAGCATGCCAACTCGAGCAATAAATACAACACATCGCTCCTGGTACTGTTCTCCGAAAACGACCCTCGTTGGCAACTCGACGATCAACGATCGCTTTCCTGCTCGCCAATTCTTCCGTCCTACAATCGCTCATCAGCCGATCAGTCCCACGATTCAAACCGCTATTTATCGAAAGTGTAAACCCTTTCTAGCGGGGGGCTCCTGTAGTGACTCACGTTTATCACGAGAACACGACTGGTTTAATAAAAACAATTATTATTATAACCAACTGTACCAGTGTTTGTTTTAACGTGCTTTTCTTTGACTGTGCTAATGACAGCTATTTTCTGCTTCCATTCTTTCGCTTACACTTCGATTGTAACTTCGCGCGAATTCGGTTACGTTCTGTAACCAAGATTGTATCCTGGCACGATCTCGGTATCCTTTCGATGCCACGAGATCGCCAGCAAATAAACATCGACTTGGTCCATTAATTGCCTTCTGGTATTCGGCTTCTCGGGGATTTTATGGAGTCATTAGGAACGAGCTTCTTACGCCTTCTGATTCGCTTGGCACGTGTTTCTTGGTAGCGGTGTTCACAGTTAACCTCAACTCGACATCACGCTACAAGTTTATGTCCGTGCATGTGTCTTCATAAGAGAGTATTTGTGTTCACTCTGAAACTGATATTTGGCATGTAAGGAGTAGGCGTGGAGTTCGTTTGATATTTTTGTAAGTTGCAAACATTTTTGTAAGCAACAGTGGTGGATAGAATATTGTTGAATGAGGTAGTGTGTGCATCAACTGTCGTTCCGGCAAAGACAAACGACAATCAGTTAGAGTGTTTGCCAAATAGATCTACGGGAAAGTGAATAGAAAAAAGATTCATTCAATCTCCATTTGAACAAAGTGAGTGGATGTTGAAGTATACGATAAACAATCTCAGTAATGGATACGATTCGCTAACAATATAATAGGTGTTTTGTCTGTTATAGTGTGACATATGTATATGATTCAGCTGATCCGTGTGTTTAATTGTACGTTCCTAACAACTGCAGTTTTGCTTGTGCAAAGTCCGATTTTCTTGAAAGGTTCATTTCTTCAAAGGGTTTAGGAAAAGCTTGAAAAACTGTATAAATACTACTGAAGGTGACTTTAAAGTTTTTAATCTCCTCTCCCTAAGTAATTAATCCTAACTTACATATAATACAAACTCAACAGGACGGTAAACCTATTCAACAACACAGCTCAATGTGCCCTCTCAGGAACTGTTGAATAATGGAATAGACTGGACTTTTTTGTTGTTAGGAAAATTATTATGTTTTGTTATCACTCATTGTCGCGTCCACTAGGTCCTAGTCGAATGTGCCTCGTACGGCTTTTTTCTTGGAATAGACTATCATGCTGCTAAAGTAAAATGCAAAACATGTCCTGGAGTAGTGAGCATGACTCTGTTGACGGAAAAGTGCCACAGATATTTGAATTTTGACAATACTTTAACCAGTAACAGCGTCTAATATGAATCGTGCCCACCTAGTGAAATCAAAAGTCAGAAGCGAGGGGGTTCGAAGATATATTTGATAGGCTATCATTATATCGAGAATCGACTGATCTAATGAGGCTAGCAATTGCCAAAACCTACAGAGTTATTGATTTGAGGATTAATTTACCGCTACAATGGAGATAGATGATTAATAATCTTAAAGGTGATCTTTTCCGTGTGATGAATACTTCTTTCACATCCCGATACTATGAGACACTACGACGATTGCATTATTTCAAAAAGAATACGTATGTAGATCATCAACGTTGATGATCTAGGCTGAATGATTGTGGCCTACTCGAGTTACACGGGAATTATGTGACCGATAACTAATGTCGAAGTCACCCCTCGTGGTCAGCACCCGACGTGGATTACCCTTTCGTCGTATCAAGGTACTATGGATGCCTTTTAAACCGTACAACACGAAGGACGTAGTTACGGAAATGTATTAGTAAGAATGAGTGCAAAGAAGATAGTGAGACGACCACCGCATTGGCCAGTCCATGGCATAAGATTAACTGATGAACGTTGATCTGGTTAGGACTCAGTGATATTTCACTGACCTTTCAGGTACAGTTTATATTCAACACTTTGGATCTGGATACTTATAAAATTAGAAGTCTTGGTGATTATCTGCCAAGCTTTTAGTCAAGAAAATGAATTAAAATGGTTTATAAAGATCTTTGTTCACTAGTTCCTTCTTTACCCTTTCTCTCAACGGTATCAGAACACGGAAGATTCGGCCAATCAAAATCAAGTACATTATGTGGTTCATGACCCAGCTTGAGATGGAATGCAGTTGAAAACCTCAGAAGAACGCACAAATTCCGTATATTTTACCTTCTTTACTCTCACTAAGTGTTTTTAATTAAGGTCAGGCTACCCTCATACTTGAACAATGTGTAACCGAATTTGTATTTAAAGAAAGTAATTAACTGTATGCATCAAACTGTGGATTGAAATCCTTGCTTCCCACTGCAGCTGAAGTTATGGAAAGAGTCGTCAAAAAGATTCCTCTGAAAATATTCAAGCGGTTATCCCACAGCCTCCGAATAACAATGTGTCGTTCTCCCAAATAAGTCATTTAATACAAACCTATTGGTTATTTTGAAAAGCCTATATCGTAATTTTCGACAGAAACAGAATTTTTTTCAGTACTGACAAATGTGGAATTCCAGTAATGAATGCCAGATAGAATTAACACATAGGGTAAATCGTAGGGAAGATATCAAAGTCTTTCGCTTAGACATTATGACATTTGGAATCAGTGGTTTATCAAACTCCTTACTCGAAGAGATATTAACGACAACCCATGCGGAATCCTCTAAGGGATGGCTCATGTATACTTTATTTTGGCAGATGTTTTAGTGTTCAATCAATGCCAATTCTATCGCAAAATTTATTTTACACTTCAGTCTCATAAGAAAGCATAGTGATGACCGCACCATTCCGTGAGCACAAATACTCTTCTCTCAAGTAACAAACAGGTTATCAGTTGAGTCTTGAAAAGTTCCCAACTTGGAGGACAACTGAGAGAACTTGTAACGGCAAATAAAGCCTTGAACCGAGAAGTTTGTTAAATCTTTGATATTGATGCTTACCTCAATAACTTTATCGGACACACCCTTAGTAAGGGTGTTCCGTTACGCATCTCAATCAGATCGTGACAGGGTACTCAATAATTAGCCTGCTTAGGTCAAAAACCTCTCTGTATATTGAAAACCCTTCAAATGGCCCCTTGATCTCCTCCATTTTTGACCTTCAGTTTGACTAGGTTTGATATATTTAATCATAAAATTATTACAACAGCGTTGTCAACCAGGAATATCCGAGAAGACCTTAGACTTGCTGAGCGAATTCAAAGCCAAAGATGGACTAAATCCTTGCTAAAAACGAGTCTTCTCACCTGGTGAACGGCTCTCGAACCCGCCAATTAAATCTGTGCATTTATATGGATCACCCAACGTAAGCTAGAGATAAACCAAACAGGTCCCCTATGTTCTCAAGCATTACCGTGAATTCAAACATTTTAAGGCTTACAGGGGCAATTAAAACCCACATGCTTTTTAGCCAGAATTTTAAATACAACCTTAGTTGCATAGTTATTGTTTTCGATGCCAGTGATTTATTCGTACTATTTTGATTAGTTAAAAGTAACCTAAAAAAGGCGCAATAAATGAGGTAGTAGTTTCTTATCCGGTAGGCCGTTAATGTGATTCCTATCGTTGCGTTTAGTGGTGTTAGACATTTTGAACATTTGTGGGTGGATCTTAATGCTCTAACTGCATACAAGGTTTTCTGTGCTCAAATTGTTTTACCAATCTCAGTATTCATGTACGTACCTGGTTCCACACGCTTTAGTAAAATATTTTCGTTATTCCACTTGTGGGACATATTATTTCTCGATGCTTCACTGAAAGCCTTATTTTATGTTCTAAGCTCGCAGTCGTTCACCTAGGCTTTCACGTGGCAACTTTTCCGCGGTGATGCATATAATTCGCATTTACTAGGACACTGACCTAATACTTTTTTATAAAAGACAAGCAGAGTTGCGTTAGTTGGTTACAAGCTGTATATCTCAACATTCAGTCTTAATTCTCAGTGTGATTTGTTTGAATAATATTTCCGAGGTTTAGGGGGCAAAACAACCTTTCATATCGGAGATTCGGTTGCAGGATAAAATGTTTAAGATAACTGGAATTAACCTACTCCCTGCTTTTCAGGCTTCCGGGACATCCCAACCTACTACTGTTACCTTTTATACCGTCTCAGTCTTGTCGCCTGAGCCTCAAGCATTCGTCACACAAATAACTACAAAGAAGTGTTTCTTATCGCGGTGAGACTGCGATTTATAGACGACCTTTGAGCGACGCCAGTGACCTTGAGAGTGTCTACCTACTTAATAGGGTTAAATGAGGGTTATAAAACAGTTTGAAAAGTAAGTATTACGATTCACAGTTGATGGTTTGGGGCTAGGAATTAGATTTCCGGACTGACATAAGTTAAAATGCCAAGACGCTATTTGGCCAAATGAGTGAATAAATTTCGTGCCAAAATCCAAGACCTACTATCCTAAATCTGATTGGTTCGTCCACAAGTTATAGCCTCGCCCTTATCGCTCTCACTTTTCACTTCATTACACTGCTCTGATCAGTAGTCTTTTTTGGGGTTCATTTTCACTGTATTTAATAGAACTTGTGTCTTGTTATTTGATATAACTTGACTGTTTTTTTGTAATCACGCTGTAAAGTATTTGTTGTATTTCAAACCTGACTTTTTAGGTGCTGATGCCCTTAATCCAAGCTACTTTATCGTTTGTTGTGGAACTACGAGATTTTCATAATATTGATCTGTACCATCGTGGGTGAGTTATTTACTGTCTATGATAATCATAAATTGAAATAGCTATTACCAAGTTCGTACTCACTTAAAAACAGGTGTGCAAACCACAGGGACTACTGGATCTAACAATGGTAAATCACTTGCCTTTGTTGAACCGCCATCCCGTTGGGAACGAGCTAGTACACGACTCAAAGTGCCAGAAGCTGTAAAAGCCAGTTATATCGAGCCGAGTGTTTCTGTTCCAGCTTACACACCAGACAAAGCATGTAGCAAAACATTGTTGATCATGTATCGAGATGAATCGGCAAGGTTATGTGATGTGTTTGAACAGAGGGTATTGGTTCAAGTTGATCCGATCAATTTAGAGGAGTCTTTAGTAAAAAACGATCTTTTCCTATACGTTGAGCTATGGTTTGTCGAAGACCCGCTTGACAGGCAAGTCAAATTTATTATATCTAGTAAATAAAGTGAATGTGTCGGCTTTTAAATACTTTTATATTTCTGCTTTTATCTTTCCGGTAAGGCAACTATTCCTTTTAACATTCCAATAGCTTCTGTACTTTAAATGATTTTGAGCAAAAACGAATAGGGCTCATGAATTATGCTCTTTTTATAATTTTCGTCAGTCGGAAAATGGTGACTTCCAACACAAATAAGTGAATGAGAAATACGACCTAGATAATAAAAGTGAAACAAAATCCTCGAGATTCAACCCAACAGCTCTCATCTACTTTGCTATAATGAAATTACTGGCACCAATAGTTCTTGCATTCCCACCAGAGCATATATTTCCACACCTTACATAGAAATGAATTAATCGACATCTGATACCATATAGGCTCATCAAAAATGAGACTAATAAATCAGAAAACAACGATGAGAAACTGATCATCTATAGATTTTAAATCTTCAAGAGCGATGCTGTCAGTAAATTTAATGTTCTTAGGATATTTATTACCTAGAAATTTTGAGAGACTTTAATTTGATATCGTGCAGTCCACTGCATCTCTTTTGATTACGCATCGGTAGTTTATAAATATGGCTAGCATTGGACTTGATGTGTCCGTACTTTATGTTTACTTCTCTAGCACCAGGTTGTCTTTTTCAGTGCATTTTCAATCTATAATGATATTTATTCTCCTTTTAACATAAAGCAAAATAATTTGGCTTTGTAAAAGTTGACTATTTGTAGCTTGCTGTCTGTTATGTATCATATCTCGTAACGTTTAGAGTATCTCTCATATCCAACATAACGAATACTTTGGTAAATCTTATGTTCAGAAGAAAAGTTTAAAGAACACAGATTTCTTGTAATTAATGCGAAAATAAGGCCATTATAATTCAAGTGTTGTCCAGTATGTTACTTTTTTCTATCAATAATATTCCCAATTGTGTCATATTTTTCCAATTCTACGTATAAATTTGGAAAGTGGATTTTTCTCAAAGAGATGCATAGTGGGATTCATTAGACTGTACAAATGGTATCATTGGCTAAGCGAGGGTTTTCTAAACCTTCATTTTGAATTTATCTCATCTACGAATGTTTCCCAATTTACACTTATTGACCAACTATTAAGTACTTCTCAGTATTTTTCACGAACACCTGCTCACTTCACACTATATCATTGTCAGTTGGAGCTGGCATAAACCACATTTCTCTCTTTATCCTCTGAACTGTAGGTTATCTAGTTGAATAATTACCGGCGAAATAGTGCGCACTTTTATTGTGTATGTTTTTGTCAATGTCCTCGGTTTTCGAATCACCTTATCGAGTCAGTTTGTGATAATCATGGCAAAATGCAACAATTTTTAACTCATTATATAATTTAATAAATCTTAAACTTTGATAAATGTTGATATCTTCCGTACGAAGCTTCAAGTATAATTTCAGGTTCTTAATTGAATTCAAAATCGGAGACTGGCTTTAAAACCCTATTCTTCTTTTATATGTCACTAACTGAAAAGTAGAACGGTTTTGGGACTCAATATTTCTGTCAGCGCTTGCTGTTGGACATCAGACTAATTATGTCATTTCGTTAGTGATAATTCAGCTTCATCCAAGGTTCAAAACATTCTCCAGAGTTTGTCTCGTCACCAGTTGATGGTTACTATGTCAAAGTTTCACAAATATATCTTCCGTTTTTTACCTCATAATTTTAATACAGTACACATTTTCAAAAAAAGCTGAAACAAACACTTAGATAACTATGATTATTTTCACTTAACAAGTGATCAATGAATAATTGTTGGTCCAAGTATTGATCAGCATTTTTTTAACATTTTCATCATGAGCTGAAAACGATTTACTGTGTTTTTGCTGCTAGTGTTGATAAGTTCTACTGCTCTAAGGTGGTTTTGTTTTATAAGACTATGTAAGTGATTACGTTGATCTTATATGATACGTTAGAATTTGGCTGTCGCTTCTATGCTTTGATTTAGTGCATAAATCGTTTTTGTGATTACGTCATCTTTGTATTTTTAATAAGTATGTGCAGACAATAATTGTCTGTTTCTTCAAAATAAAACAAAAATATTCCGTGCCGAATTATTCAGAATTAATATGCTCCACTTTAACAAATAACAAATCAAGGTCCTGCAATTGTTCAGTGGGTTTTATATCAAAAGAAAACAATTAATAAGGTATCAAATATAAAGTTTCTGAAACCAGTTGACAAAATGATAATATTTATGGAATATGGTTATTTCGATGGATAATAAAATTACTATTCTGTCAACTATTTAAACTTCACACCAAATTTAGTTGTCTACTTTGATTTTTAGTCAATTTCTACCAATTATGAGCTTAGGAATTGTCATCGAAAGACTTTATTGGATGTTATCCAATCCCCTCAATAAATAATCAGTGACCATGCCTTTTGATAACAGTTTATCCATATACATCTCTAGGGCACTTAAACTTATATACGCGTAAACATAGGTTTCTCTCCACCGTTCTAAAGGGTGTAAGTAAGCATGGATTCTTCGCTAACTTATTATATGCTTTTCAGTTTTCTCATTATACATGATGCCTTTAAAACGATACACATCCAATTACCTTCTAATTCTTTTCTTTTTGCCTCTATAATTCTATCAATAATTTTAGGATTTTATAGCATTTTAGTCAATTCTATCAGATACTTCATCTTACCCACATATTATCACGTTATTTGCATACACCAATTTTCTAAATGCTTAAGAGAAAATGAATTGTTGGTTTTTTTTGACCAAAGCCCTCTTTTTACAAGCCATAACCGTACAGTCCAATTACATTTTTCCTCCCTGGCTAACTCGATAAATTGATATCTCTTGGGATTGGCTAAATAAATAAATAAATCTTATTTCACCCAACAGTATAAAGATAGCGCCTTTTATACGCTCTTCACTGTCGCTATCATCATTATTTTGCTCGTGTGAAATTTTCAGTCTTTCAACTTGTTTTGTATCTTTGAGTATCTTTCAAAGCAAATTTTGCTTACAAGCTGTGAAATAACACTCTAAACTACTGTTTTGTCTCGTCTAATTACAAGCCTCATCAATAACGAAGTCGTAGTCAAGTATTTTGTTACATAACGGCCATCTGACCAGGAAATGATGCACAAAATCTTAGGCAGTTGATAATGTCAATTAAGACAGACAAACATCATCAGTAGTCTTTCTAAACCAGTCACTGTGCTAGAGTGCTTCAACTTATTTCACATTAACTCACTGATTGTTAGTGCATCTGTATTGCTTATACCCATCATGCTAACTTGCACGTACGCATTCATGTACTTTATTTGTATTATTTTTCGTTTAGTTCATTTATATTATCTCAATTTCGTTTGATTCCAATTGAACATCGTTTATAGTATGCGTATATGTATGCACCGTGCACATCTTTGAAATAATACGTGAGCTGGGATATACTCCTCGGTTGATCAAACCGAAGTAGGTGATTCTCGTAGGGAGCCACTTTCTGAGCCTATAACCTAAATGTCTAATCCGTAATGCGAAGGAGCAACGTTAGATGCTTTCCCATGGTAGAGGGTGACCAACAATAGATTCACGACCGTTGCTGCTGCTTTGATGTGGTGTTCGGGCCTACTTATCATAACGAACCAATCGAGCTACACTGGCTGGAACGACCGTTCCTAAAGGTGCTACTATGCCAGACAAGTCGGTTGAGGAGCGGTAAAACTAAAAGCAGCAAACCCAAGGTCCGAGGGCGAAGTCATACTGCTGACTGTACAGAAAGATGACAGCAGTCAGTTGTTTCCTTCAGACAACCAGCATAACAGCGACGCTGCCTTCCCACAAGGAGGGGTGGGTTTAGAAAAGGTCGACCCTAAAAGTGTACACCTTGCCTTATCCCACGGATGTTCGTCTCCGGCAGTAAGGTCCCAACAAGTACGGAGCTAACACGAAAATTACTTACAAGAAGGTCTTGTGTGACTGGCCTCAAGCAATTGTCTTTTGAGCACTGCGGTCACGCTCTCAGGTCACAAAGACCACCTCTAACCTAATTTCCTTTTCAGGTGTTTCAGGAAGAACCCTTCTACGGTGTGGTAAAAGGGAAGTGATAACTCTCCTCATACATCTAACAGCACTCAACAATAGATTCATACGCTAACTGCTCCCTCAGGATCCTAGGTCCTGTGTGCATCATTGGTTTGGAAGCATGGTTAAAGCACTCGGCTTCCCACCGTCTGTGACAGGTCATATATTAGAAACTCTCTTCATTTACGTTGGTTTGAACATCCCTCACATAATCACTGTGTTTCAAAACCAGGATAGCCATAACCAACATGGAACCTAACACATGTATTTCGCAAGCAAGTTATATGCACATCATTTCCATGAAAACCTGACCAATATTGATTTTTTCAGTAGTGAATTCATTCCAGTTAGCGTGTAATTGAACTAAGTTTTACTTTTATGATGACCTTTGCACCATTATCATTATTATTATTATTATTATTATTATTATTATTATTATTATTATTATTGTCACAATGTATTTGTTTTGAATGATTTTCGTCGAACTTCAAAATAAATAAGCTCTTTTGTTTTAAGATGTAGTTAATGATAGTCACGTATTGGTAATCTTTACCTTTGCATTGTGTAATATTTATTTTTCCATATGATAATGTTTTTAAGGTCAGCTTCTCATTGTTTACTTGTACGACTTGTTTCCACGCAAAGTCATCTATTGACGACATGTTATCCTCACAGTTGTTCCATATTGAGTTATAGTGTCGACCCCTGTATCACATGGTTTATGGTCATCGCACTGGCATTATGCTAGACTTATTTGCTCTGGAGATCTAGGAACTGAATTGAATACGTAAGCTTTCTTCAGTTACGTTTCGGATATAGAAGGTTACTGAACATTAAAAAAAAATGATAAATTCGGTTTTAAATCTTCAGCAAGTATACGTTACATGTATATATAAAGTATACAAGAAAGGGACATTTTTATTCCACAGTTCACTCATAGGCATAGATGATGTTTCCACTTTTACTGCCTCAGAATGGAACCTCAACATACAATATTAACACGTTATCTAGTGGGTTGTCCAGGTTCACGGTAGAATGGTTGATTAGTTCGGTCCCTATCAAACCACCCATATTAGTTTATGAGACACAGCTCCACTATCCTCAGGGCACCGCGAGAAGGTCTGGGTCAAAAGTTTTCCCACCTGCCTAATAAGTGCGACAGTGACTGACGTTAAGGTAAGTTGTAGAAGGTTATGCATGATTACATGGATATATATATATATATATAAATTATTTAACAAACTGTTCTGGTTCTCAATTGTTACAAAAGATTCTGTTTTCCTTCTAGACCCTTTGCTCCTGAATTTCTGACTAAGGTATGTGAGCGTCAACTACGTATTCATTTAACACCATCTCGTGGACTTCACTATCATTTCACCGTATTCTTCGATTATTTTCATTTATGTGCTATTGAATTGGCACTTTATGGAGCATTAACAAACATCACTTCAAGTATTATTAGGTAAGTACTTCTTCAATATCCATTTTAAATAAATATATTGTAAAGTATTCTACAAACTACTGGTTTATGTATTCATCTTTGAGTTATTTCGTTCGTACGGGGGTTAGTAACACTACCAGTCTGCTCAAAAAAGTAAGGCAGGGTCAGAGCATACCATCTATTGGTTCAATAAGCTGGACATTGGCTATTCTCGAGCAGAAGCCTAATGGCTTAAACATTCGTCTTTTGTTCGATACATAGTTTGTATTCGTCACAGATTGATTTCAGCTCTGATACCAGTGGGGAAAACCGAATGTATTTAACAAAAAATTACAGGAATTATTAATAAAATCTAACAATCATAAAGTAAATGCTTAATTTGCAAAATGTCCACTAATTGTCTCAAGATGACTCAGACTTCATTGTTCTTGCATTTTCATACAAATTGCATCCTGTTTCTATATTTTACTGTTCAGTCCTCTTGTCTCTCTGCTGCCAGACCTTCTGTCCACGACTGACATCATATACTACTTATGTCAATATAAGTAGCACACACCACACAAGGAGTACTGGGCAGCCTTTGCATCTTAGTGGGGGACTCCTTAGCAGTGCATATTTACAAATCAACCAGGAAACTTCAGGTCTTGCCTGAAAAGCCTAATTATTAGAACTACTGAGTTAACCTCCAACGATACAACTCCACCTTCAATCAGTTTGTGAAAAAAAGGAGACGACCATCCAATATCACTGATGACAACTATTTGACTCCCAATATGTCAGAACTCCATCAGTCATAACTCAATACTCAAGAACCTCTTGGATTAAGTCATTCATGAGCTGACTACCAAAGTTTGGTTGTAAAGGTTTTGTGGTGGTCTGTTTCTTTTGTTGGTAGTATTCGTCAAGGATCAAAAGTTGACATATTTCACTCTACCTAGTTCGATTTAGGTAATCAGATAGTAATACCATTTCGTATAATACATACATTTGCTTACTATGTTACACTGTTTTTCGATCTATAAATTGCTAACTTCTGATTCATTTGAAAGTCGGTTATCTATCGAAATTTGAAAGTAATTTCACAGCATAAATTTATTTTTCAGAAAATATACTTCAGAATTTCCTGTCTTGTTCAAAACATTGTTAATATTTATGTCTTCCTCGGTCTTTTAAAATTTTAAGTTATGCTTCTAAAGCCATTATGAATCTACAAAATTATAAGTATACTTCCGGCTTTCAATCTTTTCATTTACTAACTAATCATACTGTTTTGTCAGTCAATTCAATATATGATATATAAAATCAATTCAGATTTTTCATACCATCTTTTCGTCCAGTCCTTTTATGAAGGCATTGGCTTAGTGGTTTAGGCGTTTGACGTTCACAGGTTCGAACACAGCCAAACCTACTTCGGTTTTAGCGACTAGGTATTATCACTAATCCTCAAAGCCATTTACATGAATCTGTACCTGGCGAATTAGTTAAATAATTAAAATTTATGAAAGCCATCTTTTATCTATATACTTGTGTTAAACGATAATTACTGAAGTTGAGTCACTTCTGTAGTTTCTATACTGAGTATTACGAGCCTATGTTTGTGCTAGTTGGAAAAGCGGAAAGATGTATTTATTGTATGATATTGAACGTCACCATGAATCTTTAGGTACCTAGATATGCTCCACGGTTAGCTTCTCGTTGTATGTTCCTGAGGATTCTCACACCAGGATAAAATTACTTTTCACGACTTCTTAGTTTTCTATGATTACCTAGTTAAATGTCATTCCATAATGTAAACCATAAATAATTGTTTAAATTAAATGAGTTAAACTTGCAAAACTGTATTTTACTTCAGTAATTTTCGCTATTTGTTTATGACAGATGGTTTCGAAAGCTGTTTCTTTCTCTTTTATACATAGTTGGCCAAAATTTTCACCACATAGTACACCATTACAAACAAACAACCAAATAATTAGTTTAGCTCAACAAACATGGCATGGTATCATTTGCAGTATCAAACAGGTGTGTACATTGTTTGATTAATTATTTATGTTCTTATTCTTATAAATCATTCTGGTTTAATAAAATTATTACTATTTATTTCGTAAAGATAACAGGATTCATTTTGTTGATCCAAAACTGTGGATGAATTGTTTAACTAACAAGAGTTTCTAGTTTAGCACCACTTATCTTTTTACGTAAAATGACGTTTTGCGAAATTTTCCATTCATAGACTAATCTTTAATAACTATTGAAAACCAGGAAACTGGTTGACTGTTTCGTCCTAGTATGAAACTTATCAACAGTCTATATCCAAGTCATCACCAAAGAATCAAATCCAGGACCTTTGTGTTTCACGCTGAACCCTTTAAATCACTTACTTATCATCCAGTGGCTTGCATGTCTAACTAATCAATTCATGGTACTGTGCGACGACCTTCCGCCACCTATCTCACGTTTAATATGGTTGAACCATACTAACCACTTTTCTTTACTATAACTTTTAGAATTGCCTGTAGAAGTAAATTACTAATGAGCATATGATTATTATTAGTATTGGTGGTTTGAGGAGATTGTTTGAACTTTCTCATTTTATATCTTGAACTGAATCTAGGTGTTACCGTCTGTATGGACAGTTACAAAGTTTCCTACTACGACGAGATAACTATCTAGTACTTCCTAGTTTTCAATAATGGTTTACGACTAAGCCGTTATGTAAACTGTTAAAAATGTTTTTCATTGCGATGTTTCCGATGGTGAAATAAGCAGTCATTGAGAATTATTTATTTGAAAAATATCGAAAAAGACTATTCCCGTCTTTTCTTAAACACAATTGATGTTTATTTGAACAACACAGTTTTTAATCAGTCTTAATGAAGTGGATGCATTCACTTTTTATCTTAAAGCACCTATACTTTTTATCCCATGAATTCATTTTTCTTATCGAATTATATTGTTTTTGCTTAAAATTTTCTACTAATATTCACTGTTACAAATCCCATTTCTCTGGTATCTATCCTCATCATTTAGTGTCGTAATTTGAACTGATTTATTTATATTCCAGGTTCTACGTCGCGCACGACTAATTGATTCTTATTGTAAATGACTATTCTTAGAAAAAAGACTATTAATACACTATAACACTAATGCTTTTATGAGATTTTTCCAAGTAATATCAAGTTTATAGTCATACTTTTTATTCAATTATTCTCTTAAAACAACTGCTACAATAATTCACCAAATAATGTTTCATAAACAATAAAACTGAAAAAAATTATAAAAAAATAAACTACTCCTTAAAAAAGAAAAGAAAGGAAAACATTATGTATCGATTAATACATTTAAATTAAACTGTAAACCAATAGAAATCTCATCCAGTTACAAAGTGGATATTACTGACTGGGGAAACCTTGATAGAAAATTACACCAAGATTGCTACAGGTTTCTATTCTATATCGGATAATGCTTCAAGACACTAGGTTGGATGAATACTTAGACCCAGCCGAAAAAGTCTTTGTGAAGTAACAAATACTAATCTTATATATATATATATATATATATATATATATATATATATATATATATATGTATCATACCAAGGAGCTATTCCATGACCAGATATGCGCTATCACCCATCCTCAACCGGAAAATCTAAGCTAGACCAGTATATGTCTCTCTAGCTTCTGTATTATGAAGGCGGACTTTATCTACTTTCTCATCACCATTGGCTCCTCAAACATAGCAGCGTCTCGATTGCTTACTATAAATCACCTTTAGTATTTACAGGGACAGTTTCTTGTTTGGATGCTTCATTTTAATGGTCCAAAAACCCTAATCATGACTCATCTCAATCAACTACCTTTTGAACTGTTTGACTACGCCTCCAATCTATGATACCAGTAATATTTATCCAGTTCGTCTTACAGGCTTTCAAATAAAATCGCCTGTCCATAATATATGAAGCTCGGAACATATCAACTTACCTCCTCTTTACATCAGTTTGAGAGTTTACTCTTTCGGAGTGTCTCAAAATCTCGTAACAACCTTTATTAAATTTACTTAGCAGTTAGAACTAATAAATCTTAAATAAGTTTTATTTATCGCCCCAAGACTGAATTAATGAATCATTAGTCTGTCAAGTCATTAACTGTCGGTCTGATTCATGTAGAAAGCTGCGTAATACCTGATTGAGGTCCACATGATAACGACAGTCAGTGGTTTGAGAATTTAGGTGATATGGCTCAAAGTCATTTGGAGTTGAAAAGATGTATTCACTCTTTATCCTTTTTCCTATTTTGAATTTCAGTATCCTTCCATACATGTCTTGCTCTTCTATCTTCTCAAATCACATTCCCAAGGTTTAGTCTTTTTTTTATCACTGTTACTACATTATGTCAATGTTTTCATCTTGTGCCAATCAAATAATGGCAACATCTTTGTTAAGCTCCATTGTGATAATGACTGCCTGTCTCTTTACCCAATCATTTTTGAAGAAAATTGAAGTATTGATCTATAAACTGAATAACTGTGAATACTTGGTTCATTCGCCGTAAACCATGCTAATCACAACTAAAACAAATAATCTGATTTCGACCGTTTTCAGTCACCCAGTGTATCATAGCGACAAAAAAATATATTGAAACCATTAAATAAACGTTAAAATTTAGCTTTACAAATTCAACGATTATTTTTATTCTTTAATTTCTGCATTATAATATAGTTTCAGTCACTAAACAATATGATGAAGTAACTTCTTTAATTTAATTTTATTTTCCAGCATACTTTTATTCAAACATAATGCTTCATTTTTCCATGAACTAATCAGTTATTTTTCTCCATAGAATGGATACATTCTTAATAGAAATTTTGATTATCATAATCTTTTTCTGATGTTTTGTGATATTGTTTCTCTTTGTTAATTTAAGTTAGTGGAGGTAAAATAAACATTTTACAAAACTATCTATGTTTTCACACCAAAGATTAACTCATGGTTAAGTGGTATAGTTTGTTTCTGCTTAACATAATAATTAAAATCAGCGTTTTTCCCAAGACTATCCGAATTAATTTGATCAAGCGTTACGAGTACCTCAAACTTGTTCATTGTCATATGTAAAATGATATTCTCAGATTATGTAAATGAAATTTATGCCGAATATAGTTTTTATACATACATACTTAGTTATTCTATATCATGTTACTTCTATGATGAAGAGATGACTCAGTGTTTAAGTCGTTGAACTTTCGGCAACGAAGTCTCACATCCGAACTCTAGCTCTACCGGATTGATTTACGGCAACCAAATAGTATCACCAGCCATCACAATATGAGTGTTATTTCAAATACACAAATCTGTATTTGGTAAATGAACTGAATAATTATAAAATGCTACCAATAACTTACTTTCACATTAATCAAACCATATCTTATGAACCAACTAATAAACAACCAATCAATTTGTTCTTAACTTTGATAAACTAAATATGAAACTCATATATCAACTGTACCTACCATAAATATTACTCTTTTGTTATAATCTCTGTCTCTCTTAATTAAAATGATTTGTTGTAATTAAGATGCAACGAATTGGAAAGCAATAATTTTGGTTATATTGTAGGTCAATTGTTAGTTTCAGTGTTTATGTCTTTTATCTATATTATTATTACGTTTGTTATTTTCATACTACCCATGTATATAAGCAGTAATTTTATTATTAATTCTCTGGAAATAACTTATAACTTAATTTCAAACCCTTTTTGTAATGACTTTAATTAATTGACATATTGATAAAACATTTAAAGAAAAACCTAAGTTATCTATTATATATACGTAAATGTATTCTGATTGAATTTGTTAATACATTTGCGTGTATATCTCGTAATGACCTCTTATAAGTTTTGTATTCACTGAAAAATATTAATCAACTGTTAATATTACTTTCTTGGTAGTATTCAAATAAAACAATTAAATGTCTTAACATTGTTTATGATTTATTTTGACCTTTAAAAAAAATATTTCAATTTACTAAAACACAAGTTCATTTACTGAGCTTTTAGTCATATCTTGATTATTTAAGCGGTTGTGTTACTGTTCAATTTGTTCTTAAGTGAAATAAGTCGCATGAGGATTGTGTTTGAACCTGAGGATAGTTGTTTACAACCATAGGACTCTAGATGGGAAATTTGTCTGTTTAGTTCGCCTGTGTTAACGAATACAGCAACTTCAATACCTTCTAGCGTGCACATACAAGATTAATGGTAAATATATATTACCCAGAAATTACAGTCAAGGATGTGCTATCATATCTTTTTATCCTGAATTTGTAACTTGATTAGTCTTATATTACACTTAAAATCACATCATAATTTGAACTGTACCACTGATCGTGTTAGATTTGATTGCAATATGAATCACTGGATTATTCCTATGACATTATTTTCTTGTTTTCCTACGCGATTTAATAATCGTTGAAATAAATATCATTCTCTGTTTACACTCCTTCATACTCTTATGACTATTGATTTTCAGTATGATCTGGAATATTTCGGTCTGTATTTTGAAGACTAATTAGTTTGGTATAACTATCGAATTTCCAAAAGGGTTTTTATCCTATCTTTAATTGTATTTTCAACAATCAGCTAAAGGCATAGGACTTCTGTGTTATTATTTTCTGTGCACGTTGACAAGGTTTATCTTCGAATTTAAGCGGTCTTTCGAAAACTATAACTCGCTTTACACAACATCATGTTGAAACGTGTATTGCCTTACGTCTTACGTCGCTCCTTCATCTTTTCTGGTAGCAATCCCCTTTACTCTAGCATATCTGTCTTCGAGAACACGTGATTTTTTATTATTATTATTATTATTATTATTATTACTGTTGGCAAAATGTTTTACGTGCTAACAATTTCTGCAAAAAAATCATCTCACAGATACGTATGTTCTGTCCTACTCTTAAACACCGTCATCGTACAGAATCACTTTTATTCTTTTGTTTATGTTGTGTTCAAATGAAAATCCTTATTCCATCATAAATTGAAGAATTAAAACTATTCGTTAAAAGAGATACATTACTGGGTGTTATGCATTAGTTTTATTTCAATATACGTCAATTCATGTGTAAATTTAATTAATAACGCTATATTCAACGCCGATTTCATATTCGCAAATATTACACTATTGAGATATTTCAGATTTACCACAGTTGGTTGAAAAACCGATAATCTAGCTGTAAACCAACAAGTCAGATAGTTTTTTTCTCAAATTGCAATACTGACGTTATTCCTCTGTACTATTTAAACGTCCCACTCACTGCCTTCTTGCGGCAGTGTTGTTTACGAAATTAAGAGTACGGGTTGGTGGATACGGAAGATCTACCTATGGAATGTGGAAAACCCTGATTCCAAACTAATGGGGTACACTGGCTCCAGGATTCTGAAAGAACAAATGAAGTATGAACCTAATGTTGGTCACCGACTACTATGGGACTGCATCTCCTGATGTTGCTTCACTGCCTTGTGGATTAGAACTGTAAGTCAAAGGATTGGAGTGTGACCCCTTCAAGAAAACCACTTGTTCCTTCTTTGGTGTCCGGGCGGTATTCCAACCCTCACAAAAATCTAATGACGAGGTGTGACGCATATGTTTAAATAAACAAATAATTTAATTAAGCTGTTTATTTACTCTCTGTAGAAGCAACTTAAACTAATCTGCGAAACGTCAAAAATTCTGATTTTTATCCAATGAGGTATCACAAATGTGTTTTTATTTTATCATCAACAATCTACCCAGTGCTTAATCTATTTGAAATTATTATATAAAACCTTGGTAATGATTAATAACTCTCAACTCTTATATTTAATGTTTGTTTTCAATTATCAAAATTTATTTTGTTCATAATTTTATCTAATTTATTGCCTCATCAACATTTTTAAAATTTATTTTAGCCCAACAGACGTCATTTTGCACTTGCTATTCATCGACATCTCTGTCAAATATTATTAGCGGCAAGAGAATCCATGTTATTATTTTGGCGTGAAAGTCTTCCGTATTTACCTTCGAATATGAGACCACGTATTGGTGAGTTTCTTTTCATTTTCGTCATTAACCTTTGGTTACTTTTTTCGTATATTTTAAATAAAGGATTTTAGTAGTTTATATGACACTAATTAATGATCGACCATAATAACAACAGAGATGATTCAATTGTCATGAATAGTATCAGCGCGTAAAGTTACTAACTATTGATCTGAGCCGTATTTGTAGGTACTTGATTGTTTGTCTTCATGAATACAACAACTCGTAGTTGGAGGTGTTGGATGAGAAGTCTCGGAATCAGCCTCAGTGGTATAGATCCATCCTCTTTCTTCCCCTTGCCTTATATTTTAAATGTTAAAATTATCCCATACTTTTTTTATCCTTCGAATTCACCCTTTTCAAATCATATGGTTTATCTTCAATATTTTAAACTTCCACTACTACTGTTACCGTTCGAGTCCCAAAGTGAACATCAACTCTGAGATGCAGGTACACCCAGCTGACGAGTCCCAAACAGGACGAAACGCGCGTCCTGGATTCCACTGCTAGCCACTATCCATCTTTGCTTATAATGCTTGTAAATTAAGGCAATATCGAGGCATACGCACAGTATGCACATATGCCAATAAGAGACTGATCAATCTCAGTCCTAAAACATCAATGGGAAGATTCAAGTAAAGCAATATCAAGTGAATTATATTCGAAGTTATTTTCAAATTTCTGATGAAATTCCTTTTATAAACTGTCTTGTATTCACAGATTGAAATCATGAGTCAGTTGAAGCTAGACCACCATGGAAAACCTGTCTTGTACTCAACAAAAAAATGATATGAATTATTTAGAACGAAAATGTATTTATATTTTTGTTTTAATTACATTTAAACATTTTTAGCATAACCATAAAAACGTGACTTATAATGATTTTAATACTGAAGTAATAAAATATAACTAGTAATAACATAGATTACGTAACGTCTATAGTATAAATAAAGAAAAGATTTAATCCTAGTAAAAAATACTCATTTTGTATAAAAATAATAAGATACGCTAGTTCAAGGTTATTATAAATTATTGTCCTGGGAAACAATTATGAATAAGAAAAGGAAGTTAAAGGGATAGGAAATAAAACAATTAAAAGAAAGAAAATTCTATAAATATGAGAAATAAGTGTAATGCGTTAGTTCAAATAAATAGACCATGTCTAGAAAATGCAGTCCGTAACACACGTTTCCTCATAGTTGAGACTCATTATTCGCATTTATCTACGTCCACAGTATTGTCTGTAGTGAGACTCGAACGCAATATCTTTCGCTTCTAACAATCGCTTGTTATTCACTGACCTGCCCCCAAATGTCCTGGTACGGCCGAGAGTGCGGTGAGTCCGCTCTCCCTCTCGAAATGCTCTCACATGGCCACGCCTATATAGCCTCTGCCAGGGAATTCCTAATCACTGCCTTCTCGTGGCGAGGGTGTTTACGAAATTGAGAGGACGAAAAGCGAATGTCCGGTGCTTTAACCGGGTTGGTGGACATGAAGAGTCAATCAGTCAGCTACAACGTAGGACCAGGCACATATATGCATCGGTCCAAGTTGCCATACCTCATTAACACAACAAGATGAACACCGGATTCATATAAGTAGTTAATTCAGAGGTGGTAATATAAAGGAGAAAGATTGCATATAAGGATATAGTATACGAAGAAAGAATTAGTCAGTAGAAAGAAAGATATGAAGCAATTTTAATCTCTTAGTTTAAGAGAAGACAGAGAGTGTATACACCGACGCCATTGTGATCGATTCTGAGCCACGTCACCAAGAGTCTCCAACCATTGGTTACGATAGTCACGCGGACCCCAACCAAGTAGTCTGCATCTACCAACATGGCTCAGACTAGAAGTTAGTGACTTCAAGCACTGATGCCACGTTTTGGTTTGGCCGCCACTTACTTTCTTCCAACCATCTCGAACACCGGTTAGCATTGCACGTCGTGGTAATCGGTGTTCAGGCATACGTAACACGTGGCCCATCCATATCAGTCGATGAAGATTCACAACCTCATCAACTGATTTACCATCCTTCCCTAATACCCTACGTCTAACCTCGCTATTACTTACCCGGTGATCCCAGCAGACGCCAGTAATATTTCTAGGGCGTTTGTGGTCAAATACTAGTAGCTTACGAGTGTCTTCTACTCTTAATGGCGATGTTTCGCTGCCGTAAATTAAAACAGAACGGACTGCCGCGCAGTATACTCGTCCTTTAATTGATAGACGGATATCTCGCCTTCGCCACAGGTGACTTAAGTTGGCAAAAGCCAAACGAGCTTTTCGAATACGTGCTGAGATTTCGTCAGACACCAACCCATTAGGGCTGATCAGACTTCCAAGATAAGTGAAGTTTTCAACGTGTTCAACTACTTGACTCCCTATCCTTAGTTCGGGTGTTGACGTAGAGCAGTCATGAAGCAACAACTTGTATTTAGAGGGAGAGAAGCGCATTCCAAACATTCTGGCATTGTTGCTCAGTGCTACCAAAAGATTCTGCATTTTATCAGCGTCTTCACCAAACAGGACTATGTCATCTGCGTATTGTGAGTCGATAAGTGGACCTCCTGGAAGGAGATCAATACCCGAGAATTCAGTAGACCATACCTCCATACCACGTTGACATGGAGAGTCCACCTAGGGGAGTTGGAAAACCCTGATTCCAAACCAATGGTGCACATGAGCTCCAGTATCCTAAAGGAACAAATGGCATATGAACCAATCGTTGGTCACCGGCTACCATGGGACTGCATCTCCTTACGTCGCTCCACTGCCTTGTGGATCAGACCTTCATGTTGAAGGCTCCGGGCGTGGCACCCTAGGAAAACCACGTGCTTCGGTTTGGGCACCCGGGCAGTATCACAGCCCTTACACAAATCGAATGAGATTTGTGTGGCACATATGTATTTGGTGCATCATTGTACCAATATCTATGCGTTAAAATAAATATAAATAAATAAATAATTCACTGACGCTCTGAATCCATGTGCCGAAAAGACTGACCGAACTTCAGTCCTGAATATCAGCAACGGAATCACTCAAAACCTTTTTCATTCCGATATTACATATTGGGGACAAAGTGTAGAAAAGTAATGGATGTATTCTTTTTTCCTGTAAGACTATAATTTATGGACGACCTTTGGACGACACTAGATTGACCTTGAGAGTGTTCGTTTAATAACCAGGACTAAATGAGGGTTATGAACCTTTATGAGGAATTAGAATTAGAATTTACAGTTAATGATTAAGCTTAGGAATTAGATTTAGGGTTTTCATCCCTAACTGACATCAGCTATAATGCCAAAACTCTATTTAGCCAAATGGATGAGTGAATTTCGCCCAAAAATCCGAAACCTATTATCTTATTCGTGATTGGTTCGTCCATAAATTGTGTTCTTGTTTTTTTTCTAGTGTTCAGATTTTAGTTCATACATAACTAAGTTTTTATTGTTTTGAAAAACCTAATACAAACATTTCAGCAATAACACTATATCTGTTCGTGGATCTCGTTTTTTGAATTACTAATATCAATAATGTCAAATGTTGCTGATCATAGTTGTTATACTGTGGAAAATCCATCTGAAATAGTATATTTCCAATCATTAGTTACCGTCGTTTCTCTCAATAATTCAGATTTTAAATAAGAGTCTGTCGAACTACACCGTATAATTAATTATGGGGAATCTTACTAACTGTAATATTGACTAAATAAAATTGCCCAATTCATTAATTGCTTTGTATTTCAATGCTATATCAAGTGAAATATTTAATATTTAGTCCTGAATATGGTGTATCAACAGTTTTTAATTACTAGCTAGGAACATTTGTACCATATACCTTTACTGATTTACGAAATGTTTATGAATTCAGTGTGGTAATTGAACTTCGGAGCTACTCTAATGCCTGTGATTAATAATTTATATTCGCACAACAGTCAATTGACATTTGCCGTACATACTTTTATACTGTTATTATTTATTCCGGTAAGTAATCATAATACAATTGCATAAGAATAAAACAAATAGAGTATTGAAAACCGATGGCTGTTAGTCTTGACGATATATGTCCTTGAGTTTAATATAACTTTTATGTATGAGCAGACAACTGATCAAAGGTTAAGAGGGTTTGATTTCATTGTAAGCTTCTAAAAATCAGTACTAAACAAAAAAAAGCTTTCGCATACCATTTTCAATTGTACGTGAGAGAAAACATATTATCACATCCTCTTACTCAATAAGATTGTTTTTTTCTGTTCATTAGATTTGTATCACCTCTGATCCCTTTAAACGGTATTTCGTCAGTAGATTCTCACTGCTTACTTTTCGTCTTGTTAATTTTCTATTGATGTGATGTTATGTAGTGTGGCAAATTGAACGGATAAACATTTGTACAACGTTTTATACTAATAATAAGAAACTTTAAGTCAAATAAAAGCAGGTATTGTAAAGTGGCCCCCAAATCAAAAAGTAGTGTCAATCCATGAGGTACTTATTCTCTGGTTGTCTGCCTGATCATCAGAGTCAGTGATCGGAGACATTGTCTAATTTGGCCCTAAACCAGTCACAATGTTCCAGATTCTCCCACTCTTCATCATCCTCTTGATCTTCAGTTCCCGTATTTCTGCATACATATCGTCTCATTTTTGTGTTTTCGAAATCGAATTTCAATTTTTAGTTGTTTCCGGCGTTATTGATGTTAAACAATTTTGAGTCCTTTCCATATTTTTAAAAAATTCATATCGTCGTTTTAACGTAACATGACAGCATGGACAAGCACACACTTGTGTCAGACTACGTTATTCATAACTTACTGACGGGCTGACATTTTAAATCTTTATTTATTGTGTTTGTCTAGTCAATAACTTGATTTTTCTTTGAAATTACAGAACCTGTTGACTTTCAAAGTAAATTGGATTCACTTGTACAAATAGCTCAAGTGAGTTTCATTAATTTAGTTGTCACTGAATAATCCTTAAAAACATTAACCGTTGACTGTCTATATTAGGTGACTGTGGACATATTAATATTCAAGTTTAACGTTGCAGTACTTCTGTCGTGGTAATGTGAGTATTTTAATCTTGTCTTAGATGTAAGTACAAGAATATATGTTAACGACAAATCTAAATGATAGCTAGGACAAAGAAAAACTCTTTGTCCCTTGGTACCAATTTAAGATAAAATTCCGTCTCTAAATTATCTGTTTTAGTAGCTGTTATTAAGAGTTGCAAGTCCTTGTCATCTGCTTTAAGAGAACACGATTTTACACATTATATTAGCTGTCACTCCAGTTCGAAAAGGTTGTTTGAATATATACACGATTATAAATAAAAAATAATATATTTGTAATATCCCAATCAGTAAAAAAGTTAAATTTTCAGACGTTTCGTGACTCAGTGCAAACCACTTCTTCAGAGAATAAATAACCGAATCGTTAGAAGCGATTTACACTGAGTCAAGAAACGTCAGAAAATTTAATTTTTCTACTCATTGAGATATTAAGAATATATTGTTTTTACTTCTAACAATTTACCCAATGCTGAATTTATTTAAATTATCGAGTCAAACCATAGTAATTATACCTACATACACAATAAATTTATCACTAGATGATGAACAATATTATACTTGCCTAGTTCGCTAGTTCTCAACGAATTTTTACGATCAGTTCACTAAAAGTTGCAGTTACGTTTTCCTAGCGATTGCCAGCTGACGACCGTAGCTGCTGCCTTAACCTGATGGTCGGGCTTCCCTATCGTGATGACTCAACCGAACTATATTGGCTGGAACATATGTTACTGTAGGTTCTACCATGCCAGGCAGGTCGATCGGAGAAAGATAAGACTAAAAGCAGAAACTCAAGATCTGAGGGCGAAGTCGTACTGCTGACTGTAGAGGGGTGTGACAGCAGTAAGGTGTTTCCCTCGGACAACCAGAAACTGCAGCGACGCTGCCTTCTCACAAGGAAGGAAAGGGTTAGATAAGGTCCACCCCAAAAATGTCACAGCCCACCTAACCTCACGAATTCCCGTCTCCTGTGGTAAAGGCTTTCGAAGAACGAAGCTAACAGGTTAAAAACTCCCCTACGAAAGGCTGTGCGCGACGGGCATCAGGCAGTTGTCCCTTGGGCTCTGCGGTCACGCTTCCAGGTCGTCAAGACCAACACTAATCCGACTTCTTTTACAGGTTCCTCAAGAAATACCCTTCCATGGTTTGGGCAGTCGGAAAGTGATATCAGCCCTCATACCCGTAACAGCACACGAGACCAAGTCGGTCACATTCAAATCCTCCCCACACCTTATAACCCTTCTCACGTCCCTTCATCACATCGCACCTGTAGTGCAAACGATTCGAGAACGCAGAACTTTATTCCTGGTCTCCTGAAACCATACTCTAAACTACTTGTAGGAGCTTTCAACGTTCAAACACTGTGACAAATAGTCAGTCAGTCAGCTACAACGTAGGACCAGGCACATATATGCATCGGTCCAAGTTGCCATACCTCATTAACACAACAAGATGAACACCGGATTCATATAAGTAGTTAATTCAGAGGTGGTAATATAAAGGAGAAAGATTGCATATAAGGATATAGTATACGAAGAAAGAATTAGTCAGTAGAAAGAAAGATATGAAGCAATTTTAATCTCTTAGTTTAAGAGAAGACAGAGAGTGTATACACCGACGCCATTGTGATCGATTCTGAGCCACGTCACCAAGAGTCTCCAACCATTGGTTACGATAGTCACGCGGACCCCAACCAAGTAGTCTGCATCTACCAACATGGCTCAGACTAGAAGTTAGTGACTTCAAGCACTGATGCCACGTTTTGGTTTGGCCGCCACTTACTTTCTTCCAACCATCTCGAACACCGGTTAGCATTGCACGTCGTGGTAATCGGTGTTCAGGCATACGTAACACGTGGCCCATCCATATCAGTCGATGAAGATTCACAACCTCATCAACTGATTTACCATCCTTCCCTAATACCCTACGTCTAACCTCGCTATTACTTACCCGGTGATCCCAGCAGACGCCAGTAATATTTCTAGGGCGTTTGTGGTCAAATACTAGTAGCTTACGAGTGTCTTCTACTCTTAATGGCGATGTTTCGCTGCCGTAAATTAAAACAGAACGGACTGCCGCGCAGTATACTCGTCCTTTAATTGATAGACGGATATCTCGCCTTCGCCACAGGTGACTTAAGTTGGCAAAAGCCAAACGAGCTTTTCGAATACGTGCTGAGATTTCGTCAGACACCAACCCATTAGGGCTGATCAGACTTCCAAGATAAGTGAAGTTTTCAACGTGTTCAACTACTTGACTCCCTATCCTTAGTTCGGGTGTTGACGTAGAGCAGTCATGAAGCAACAACTTGTATTTAGAGGGAGAGAAGCGCATTCCAAACATTCTGGCATTGTTGCTCAGTGCTACCAAAAGATTCTGCATTTTATCAGCGTCTTCACCAAACAGGAATATGTCATCTGCGTATTGTGAGTCGATAAGTGGACCTCCCGATAGGAGATCAATGTCTGAAAATTCAATCGACGAGAGCGTTATTTCCATCAGTAGGTCTATGATGAAGTTAAACAAAAATGGACAAAGTTGACAGCCTTGACGGACACCACTTGAGGTTGCAAAAGTAGATGACAGTTCGCTATAAGCCCTTACTCGACTAGCAGTGTTCGAGTAGAGAGCCTTCACAAGGTTTATGTACTTCTGAGGTACGCCTTTCAATGACAGACACTGCCACACAATCTCGCGGTCTACCGAGTCAAATGCTGCTTTTAAGTCAAGAAAGACCACCATTGTCGGACGCCGATAAGTATGCCTGTGTTCTAGAACCTGACGAATGGCAAATATGTGATCGGTGCAGCCACAACCAGGTCGTTTCAGATTAGCTATAGCCTTTTTAACTTCTGCTAGAGTTGAGAGACCTACTTCAATGTTCCATTCACACCGTCTGGGAATGGAGGGTAGTTGTAGAGTAGCTGAAGGCCAGCTGAAATGTTCCACCCGTCGTTCTGGACGTCTGAACTGAGAGGAGATGAGGGTGTCATCTTTTTCCGAAATAGTCTGACTTACACTTTAATTATTAATTCCAGTTTCTTTTATTAGTCTGTAGAGCTGTCTTGTGTTCCCTGTAGTCGCCACCTTTTCCATCACTTTTGCTTTCGTTGCCTACCACTGCTCGCGATCGTTCCTTAGACTTTTGGTTAACCTAGATCTGATTCGTTTGCGCTCTTCATCGTGTTCAGAGCCTGATAGACCTTGAAGAAATCCATTGGTTCTTTGTAACCCTGTGGTTTGAGTCACTAATAGATGTCACTGCTGTCCAAGCAACATCTGGGTCAACCTCGTTTTCAGAACTACCTAAGTGTGACCTCAGTTGTTAGTGGAACCTACTTTTGGTTTTCTCGCTACTCAATTCAGTTCTAATGGGTCTTTTCACTGTGGCTTTTTTGCGTCCAGTGAGGCGCAAGCAGATGCGTGCCCGTATTAGGGCGTGTTCGGAGTCCAAGCAGGTACTCCAGAATGAGCGATAATCTTCTACCGACCGTCTCCAACGATGACTGATGGCATTATGGTCTATTTGAGTCCATCGTTGGTTTGGTGTATGGGGTCGCCATGTTAGACGATGTCTCTCCTTATGCTTAAAATTTGTGTTTGCTAAAAATAAACGATTGTCTGAGCACAGTTGCAACAGACGATCACCATTACCTGTTCGTTGTGCCTGTGACAAATAGGACAACAGGCTTCCTTAGTTATGACTTAAGAATCTCGCGCCATCCATGTGTGCTGCATCTCCGAAACGCGCATACAGGATCCGAGTAGTGTCACTCATTTGACCTCACCATATTAAAACGAAGTACCATCTCGATTCACGCTTCGTTTATCTGGAAGCCCTGATTCTGCTTCCCGTGGCCTCGCTGGTGTGGGTATGGCGTTGAGTCTAGGGCAGAACTAGCTCACTTAGACTGCATCCCAGTAGACAGTCGTTTGTGCGCTGTCCGACTAAACGGAACAGTGAGGACTCGGAAAGATAGCGACACTCGTCGTTGTCTCTTCGTCGTCTCTGCCTACTTTCCCACTGACTGCAGCTCAGATGATGTAAAAGATGAGTTTTACAGAAAGCTTTCTGACCTCCGAAAATCTAGGCGTTCTGATGTAGTGATAGTGGCTGGTGACTTTAATGCTCAAGTAGGTAAACTAGGAGAAGGGGAAAAACACCTGGATGGAACCTTCGGGAGTCGTGGCTCTGTTACAGCTATGCTCAGATAAACGCCTATTTCTAGCAATTACTAACTTTAAGTATTAGGAAGAGCAGAGTCAGCTTAAGCGTAGGCTGAAAGGAGGCTACCTAATGCTCATGAACAGTGGTGGGTAGCAAAACCAAGAGAGATGGAAAAGACAGTGGCAGTAGGTAACAGTAGACAACTGGGTGAAACTATAATTTTCGGACGACCTTAGAGATACATTAAGGTGACCTTAAGGATGTCCACCTAGTTACTACGGCTAAATGAGTGTTATAAACCAGTTTGAAGAATAAGGATTATAATGTACAGTTGATAGTTAGGGTTAGAAATTAGATTTATATTTTTCATCACGAACCTACATCAGCTAAAATGTCAAAAAGCTATTTAGTCAAATAAATGAATTTCGCGTCTTAATCCAAGACCTGTTATCCGAAATCTGATTAGTTCGTCCACAATTTCTAGTCTCTCCAACAACTGTTCAGACTTGCCAAGGAAACCGGTATTAGGAATACAACTGTTGGCGAGACTAACTCGGAAAAAAATGGACATATTATTCACCCCTAATCCAGGAGATTGGATCGATGGGCTGAACACTTTAGGGATCAGTTCAACTGGCCTTCAGCCACAGGTTTACTCCTGAGATTTTTAAGGATGGTGGTTCAGTATTAGCAGTGAGATTGACTGAGGTCTTAGGTAGAATTCGCGAACCGAACGAAATCCCATCTGACTGGTCTCAATCACTGATTGTGCCAGTCTATAAGAAAGGAGAAAAGTCCTCTTGTGACAATCACAGAGGAATCAGTTTGACTAACACAGTGTCTAAAGTATTAGCTTCAATAATACTTCGACGCCTAACTAAACCTCGCGAAGAGCAGACTAGAGAAAATCAGGCTAAAATATTAGCTTCAATAATACGTACGTACTTACGAAGTTCTACGTTGTTACTGACTGACTGACTGCCAGCTGTCTTGAAACCTGATTCTAGGTTTTCCTGTCGATTGATTCCCAATACGTAACAGCAGGATATTAAATCACCATTGGTTGAGAGTTACTTCGTACAACATTTTTACTAAAGGTAAAAATTTCAACAGTGGACTCCTGAATCTGTGCCCTAATGATGATGACCAGCCGACTCCCAAATTCGTGTCCTGATTTCGAATCCATGTGAATGGCTTCTGAGTGACCCTTGTTTTCATTAGTTCACTAACAGATATCAGTTCGTCGTGGTGAATATCTTCAAAATATTACCAATTATGTTGTATTTCAGTTTGTAACCGTACAACTTAAGTGACGATTTAGTGAACAAAATTATTCTAAGTTCCGTTTTACTGTCGGTGTTGTATACTAATAAATTCTACCACACATATAATAGCTTCAACTAAAAGTCTTAATTCATTGATAGTTCTCACTCCACTTTCACAAATTTTCTCTTGAAGTCAAGTTCTTATTCTTCTGTTTTTACAGAGCCTAGAAACAGATGATGATTTAGCGAATCAAATTTCATTTGATATTGCTCGTCTCTCGTCTCAAAATACTGTTCTATTTAAACAACTATGTAAATCTGTCACCTTACAATCCAAGTTGGCTGCTTTTTTACGTCGAAGGTTTCATCAAATTCGTGTAAGTCACGTTAATTTTTATCGCTGAATTTGTTGTGCTCTTGGCTGTCTAGCACTTACTGGATAATGCACTTCGTTCTATTTGGTGTGATCGACGATAACAATGAGTTAGAAACAGTGTAGTGTATATTTTAAAACGTCAAAATTGATAGTTTCAAACGTATGAAATCCTTAATTCTCACTTTTTAAGTTGTACATAGTAGTCAAATCGACCCTCTTCCCAAATACTAAAATTAAACCCTTAATCTTGAAGGAAACTTTAGCCTGCTTTTCATTCGTATTAGCTTTCGCAAATTAAAAATTACAATGTAGTCAACTGCTTGTTTAGTTTATTTTAATTGACTAACATTACTGATTGGTTAAGACCAAAAAACAATACCAGTTTATTATCAGGTACTTCTTAAGAATACGATTTATTTTAACTGTAGATCGCCAATAGGATTTTCAATGTTGCCATGAGATTTCATGCCTTGTATTACGTATCTTTCTTTTTTTCACTTTTGAAAAATAATTTAGATGAAACGATTGGCTGAGGCATTTTTCTGTCAAGAGTTATCACTTGTCAATTTACTAGCTATTTATGACTCAAGGTAACAAATAATATTTGTCTTTATAAAGCTAATTTTACATCATTTATGTAGTAGACCTTACTTTATTTCACAATTTGTATAGTTTTAATGGAGCTGTAAATCAATCGTTACAAACAGTCTGCTCGCAGTCGTTATGTCACAAAATATTACCCTTACGTTGTTATTTAGGTATGGACGATATGCTAGTACCGTGAACTTCCATTTAAACCGTGTATTTCAAAGATGAATAGGTTAATATGTATCTACAAAATAATTCATTGTTATACAGTCTTGTTTTAAGCAAACTCCACCTAACTGAGCAATTCATCTCGTACATGTACATTTCACTTCAAATTGTGACATCTCCATTAGTGCAAGCTAGACGACTTCAGTACTTTATAATAACAACGTTGTGATTGTATTTCACTCGTTAAAGTGCATTTAGAACACGTTCAACTGAAATTATGATTTATTCACATGACTTAAATTTATTTAACTAATATTGATATGAACCAAATGTCAGAATAGAAAACACTTTACTTGTCGGTATGCAATCAGTCACCTGTAATGTATATGTAATGTGACTGAGTAACCGCCACTCGAAAACATCGAATTACTGACTTAAAACTTCTAAACAAATGAGATATCAAACTACGAAACAACCGACCATTAAGAAAAAGCCATTCCCCCTTCAGAAATATGGTGCACTCTTAAAAGTAATTGTAACATAGTTTTTCAGACTACTGTCTACTAACCAATGAGATTTAAACTCTAATACTAGACTTACTTCTTGTCCTTGATATCATTTGCATTACTGACCACTTTGCAACCATTATATAATTAAACTGAAATGTAAAGTATTGCTAGTGTATTAGCTTAATACATTTCAAATAATCTTATGTTAAACGAACAAGCTGAACTAATGGTCACAACGACATGCTAACACACACTAATGATAAGTCTCATACGAAAATTAAAAGACGAAAAGCGAATGTCCGGCGCTTCAACTGGGTTAGTAGATATGGACGATCCACCGAGGAGAGTTGGAAAACCCTAATTATAAACCAATGGTGCACATGGACTCCAGGATCCTGAGGAGACAAATGATGTATGAACCTATTGTTGGTCACCGACTACTATGGGACTGCTTCATTGCCTTGCGGATTAGAACTGTAGGTCAAAGGATTGGGGTGTGTTCCTTTAAGAAAACCACCCGCATCGGTTCAAGCGCTCGGACAGTATCTCAGCCCTCACACGGATGGAATGATTTGTGTGGTGAACATATATTTGGTGCCTCCTTGTACCAATGTTTATGTGTTTAAGTATTTGGTTGCGATTTTCGTGTACACTCGATAGAGGGAACATATTCTTATTGAACTATTATTTGTAGACAGGGCAGCTACCTATTGGAATTTACTTAGTTTTCTGACAGAATACCACCCTTATGTTCAAAATCAAAGATTGTAAGGTATGGTACATCATTTCATATTGAATTGATCCTAAGATCTTTAGCCATCTTTCATACCTAGCATAGTGTGTTCTATAGCAATGAAGTCCAAAATCAATGACTTATAGTTCCTTTGATTTTCGACAGTAATTCTCGTTATTATCAGTTTATGTTAGAAACTGCTTACAACTAAGTGAAATATTATACAACTCGGACTGACTTTAGCTAAACAATATCTGAAAACCAGGGAGCACTAGATAGCTGTTTTGCGCAAATATAAGACATTTGCTTGTTCATTTAAATATGTTAAGTAGTGACTAAGCTCTGATTTGATTGGTACAACACAGATCTATCCACTCTCTTTGTTCTTTTCTTGAAAATTAGAGTTTTAGAATTTTCTTATACTTTTTTTCATTCCACGATTTCATTCTTTTTCCTCACATTTGATTGTTCAATTAATATTGATACTGTTACTACTTTGAATTCCTTAGTATTTGTCTTGATAATTTAATTTCGGTATCGTGATGAAGTGTGACAAGTTGAATCGTTGCCCATATATGTGCTATGTTCTACACTGTTTATGCCTGATTGAGTTTAAACATCACTTGGAAATTTTCTATTATGTTGTTTGATTTTACATTATTTTTATAAAAACTTCAAGTTATTTTGATGCTTAAAGATTTTTCTAAGAAATTTTCATATTTCAGTGTTGTAGGACATGAATCACTTGCTAATGATGTTCGCCAATCAGTTTATTTCCAAAAACTTCCAACTTTACCAGTTACCTGTCGTGAGTTAGACGGTGATGTTACTAATCTACCGATTATCTTCGAAGACATCTTTTTACCACATAATAATAATAACAATAATAATAATAAGACAAAATCATTGAATTTATCTCAACCAATTAATGGTAATAATAATAATGCAATATATACAACCAATCCACCAAAAACAAAATATACTTCAATGGAGTTATTGTCAACTCATAAATCCCCATCTACCATTGATGATGATGCATTTACACCAATAAAAACTCGTTCAGATGATAATGAGTCCGGTATTTATATGGAAGAAGATGTAGTGGGAGTAGGAGTATTATCAAAGACTGCAACTAGAAATAAGTCAACTGATTTATCTAGATGTGACACAATACCAGGTAAATGAATTTAATATTTTTCTTCATTTTGTGTCTTCTTTTCTACCTTCACTATGTATTTTTCACCATTTTCAAGTTTAATAATGACTGAATGGTTAAAACACTAAACGTCATCTTCGTTTAATCCCCACGTTCAAACCCCTGTCTATCTAATTTAGTCCGGACGGTCGAGTGGTATCATCTAGCGCTTACATAAATTATGTAACTTCCAACTGAATCCAAATGAGTATTGTTATGTCAATCAACTAATGTGCATACTTTTGTAAACAGAAAGACATCTCTTCTAAACTAGGGCTAACTGACCTCTTTACTTATAATCAAATCTTAAGAATAGAACTCTATGGATAAGTTAGTTAGTCAGCCTGAGCAACTATGTTACTCCTCACCGTCAAATTGCACATCGGCCGAGGCCAGCCTTGGAGAAATAAATAACTCATCCTGAGAATTTCTCTTGTTGCTTAAGGTGTTCAAAGGGCTGTGTTTCTTCAGCTATTTAAATATGTCTCACCGTAAATCTGTGGATGTTAAAGTAAAAGAAGTTGAATCAAACAAATATTAGCTTTTGAAGCATGTATAACGATACTAGGTAAAAAAGAAAAATATGGAAACTGTTTGACATGACTGATTTAACTCATGGTTCAACATAAGCTCCAGCCAAATAACCATTTTTTGGGTTATGTACTTGTTCTTTAAAAACGTTTCAATTACTATAACTTGAACATGGTTCCTAAGGGTTTTGGAGTTTTTTTTCGTTTTAACAAGCGTTGCCTATGTTATGTTTACATGCTGTTGTCATGGTAGCTCCAATGGTATCCTAACATATTTTGTTTACTACAGTGATAAATAGCATCTTGATATACATATACAACAAACAAATGATTTACATAATCTTTGATTTCCCATAGTACTGATATTGCTTATGACGTTGTGAATGCAAAAATACCCTTTTCCGTCCTATTTTTTGGCAACGCCTTCCTTTAGTTTAGGTTTTATTGGTTTTTGTAGACTTGTTGTTGTAAAGGGGAAGTGTTAATTATATTTTTTTTCGGACCGTTTTGTATATTTGATTTGTTATCTACATATCCGACTGTTTAATATAATTGTTGAACGAACTGGTCTCCTCAGCTGAACTCCTTATTGTTACAGCTAATGATGATACATGTTTCTCCAAGCTGAAGTGAATAAAGTTGGGTTCGAGGCTATGACTTAGTGGCCAGAAGTCGAACACCCTAACCATCACTTAGTTACATTGTAGTTTCAAATTAGCTTCCGTCATAGGCACTGAATTTAACTAGATAATAATTGGAAATTAAGGAATATTAAATGGTTGTTTCGTTATTGTACAAAACTAGCTTAAGAGATATTAGAAAAGTTCGTGCGTATTTGTGGTGCTACATCGTAGAAGTAGAGTTAATATCAGTACACACACACTATTCCTCCAGAGAATAAAACAAAGACTTGCGTTCCTCGCGACAATCACATCCACTTTTTAAGCAATAAGTGAGTATCTGGTAACTCATATTTACAATTTCATTTAATTCCCATAGTATAGTTCGCCAAATTTTTTTCACTTCATTTGTTGTAATCATTTAGACTATTAGGACTTAATGAAAAGGTTGTTTTCTGTTTCATTATAAGAAAAAACAATAAACCTCCTGTTACTTTAAAATTATTTTATAAATTATTGTAATGTTGATATAATGGTTTTATCACTTGAGTTTCTATCATTAACTAACACAATTAAGCTGCATTTTAACTGCCTCTTGTTAGACATGTAGTATCCCTAACCCACACATGTATTGCATAATTTGTTTGCTAAACAGTTTAAGGCGATACAATAAAGTTTTATGCACTACTATCATTTCCATTTTATTTTACAGAGACTACACTTAGACTCTACCTCTTCTATACCAAGTATTCTTCAGTACTAAATAGTGGTCTATACTTTTTAAAATTTATATGTAGGTGTTTTTTTTTTGCTGGATGTGTTTGAGGACATTACAAGTTTAAGACTAAGCTTTCAATTGATTTACCTGAGTAACCATTTTGTTTTTATTGTAAATTTCTTTATTCTGTTGATCCCACTTTTACATCAGGTATTTCGTCTAGTTATGCAAAAAATGTGTGAAATTGTGGTGTCAATGAAAACAAAGGGGTAAAAGAATAAAACAATAGCTTTGTTGGTTGATACATTTTGTATATAACTTAAAATGTACAAGTGTCAGCAGAGTTATCCAAAATTAGATTCATCCCACCCAAATTCTCTGGTACGACCAAGAGTTAAGAGAGTCATCTCTCGCTCTCGAAATGCTTTCATATGACCACGCGTACATAGCCACTGACAGAGACGTTCTACTCACCGCTCTTTAAAGCTCATGTTTTACAGACATAAAGTCGGATAGAGTGAACCTTTGCACATTGATCTCGTCCTTTCATTGTCATCCATTATAACTAGATTAAATTACTGCTAGCCAATTACTGTTAGCCAAAGTTGACTATCGCTTTAACTTTACAGAAATCAAACGCTTACCAAACAATCAGTGTTAATTCGTCAACTCAAATAAATGTAATCATCGTAACTTAACGTAAATGAATGCTATTGGTCTTTTTTAAATGTACCGTATCGCGTTAGATCAAATAATTTTCGAATTAATTGACTTTTGTGCTTTCTCATGATACTTTTTTAAAATTCATGATGGTTATTATTTGTTATCTGTTCAAATACATAAACATTGGTAAAAGGAGGCACCAATTATATGTTCACCACTCAAATCATTCCATCCGTGTGAGGGCTGAGATACTGTCCGAGCGCTTGAACCGATGCGGGTGGTTTTCTTAAAGGAACACACCCCAATCCTTTGACCTACAGTTCTAATCCGCAAGGTAATAAAGCAGTCCCATAGTAGTCGGTGACCAACAATAGGTTCATACATCATTTGTCTCCTCAGGATCCTGGAGTCCATGTGCACCATTGGTTTATAATTAGGGTTTTCCAACTCTCCTCGGTGGATCGTCCATATCTACTAACCCAGTTGAAGCGCCGGACATTCGCTTTTCATCCTTTCATTTTCATAAACAGCACCCCCACCGCTATATTAATTTCAAACTATATAGTAAATATGTATTTCAACGGTAATCGCGAGCGTATGATTAGTAGGAGAGAAATGTGAGTTGGGACAGTATTAAATGTGTATTCTACAGGTCAAATAGACGTCCAAACAATGGTTTTATGACTGCGATTAAAATAAGCCTGAATTAGAAATGAATATGTATTGTATTCGAATTAACCAACAGTTTTTCCAATTGTAATCAGAACACTAATAAATAGTGATTAAACTATACTGCCATTTAAATGGAATTAAAAATAATCTGATCTAATCAGATATAAATTGAACCGAATAAAATTAAACTGAATTAAATAGATATAAATTAAATAGGTTATAGAAACGAATGCAATCAACAAGATTGATACAATTCGGTGGTCATACAAACATACTGGCAATCACTTATATAAAAAATAATATATAGATAAGAGTTCGTAAACAGGTCATCTAGATGAGTACATAATAAAAAAAAGAATTAAATTGTCTGTTAGAATGAAAAATGTCTGTTAGCCACGTGAAAATCCAATCTCATTGGTAGGCCAGCTGATCATATGTTTAAAAACGTCGATCATTTTATAAGCATCGCAAATTTTTCATGCCTCCTCATAGTAAATTAAATTACCTTTTCTATGCCTGTATTATATATCAGAACTAATTCATTTCTATAGTGACACTTAATCTGTACTGACAAAATAAATCACTTTAAACTTCTTATTTACAGTTAATAAAAAAGAATCTACACCTATATCAAACTATATATATCCATCAAGTGTACCCAATCCTCTTTCAAACTATCAAGTTCAAAATTTTTCTCATTCAAGTCCTAATCTCTTATCATCATCACCATCATTACAACAAATTCATGTAAAAACTAGACCAATTTTTAAACCATTTCTTACTACAGCTAACAATATGACAACCCCACAATCTAAACGCAAATTTCACTTACCTAGTAACCATAGTCGGAAATTTCATTATTTTGACAAGTCACGTGAATCTAATGTTCTATCACATTTAAATAGTAATAACTCAAAAGTTAAATTAGTTGGTTACCGTTCTATTCAACCAGCAGAGAACGACGATATAAGGAATCAATATTCTGGCTTATCTGATAATCGACATAGATTGACTGAATCCTCTTTCAATATTTATTCCGATATAAATCATTGTTCATATTCTTCTACTGGCCTACGTCCTATCGGTGGTCTGGCTATTCGAGAGTAAGTAAAATAATGTCTTGTTTGTTTTTTTATTCCATAATCTTTTATTTATGAAATATTCCATCAAATTAAAATGTAAAATTTGACATTTGTTTCAATGATTTCCTATACTAAAGATGATAATTATTTCCAGTGTTCCTATTAAGTTCATAGAAAACTTCTAGATCTTCTTTGCTTTATTTGTTGACTGATGTCCATTCGAGAAAATAAAACTATTAAGACATAGTCAGTCAGTGAATCAATCATTCTGTCTACTTTCATTTTTAACGTCGCGATTTGTCTGCTTAATTCAATGAAAATATCATATCAATTCGGATATCCCATCAATTGTAGGTTATTTAACGAATCACTCAGACTAAAGTTATCGACTTCCGAAAAATTGTACATACTCCTTGTTGCCAAGACCTAAGCCTAATGTTTCCTCTCGACAACCTCCAATCATCTAGGGTATCATCAATGCAATCCACGTCATGTTTAATCACTTAAATTAACAGTCACAATACACTTCGGTCGCCACAAAAGAATTAAATAAATATGACATCAATAACCACGCCAAGTAGAGTTGTAATTTATCTCCTAAACTTCTATTCTCAAATAAGTACATTTTGTCGTCATATTTTGATCCTAATACACATATTGAATATTTCTCGTATTAAAGAAGCTTATGCATTGCGGGATTTATATTGCTGAGAGATTATCAATCCCCAAATTGTATACCATGCCACAAACACATTTTATTGATTTTCATTCTTTCTTCAACATCAAACGTGTTATTTATTTTCATAGTTTACATTCTCGAACAACTGACTTTCGATAAACAACCACTGAAAATCAGATAGTACTGAACTGCTGTTCAGTTCCACTATGTAATTAACCTTTAGACTACTCAGTAAGCATCCAAAGGTTTGCATTTCTAGCTTCAATTCACGATATCTCGCAACCAGCTTCGAACAAAATTTTCGGGTAAATTACCTCGCACTCGGCATAGTTAGAAACTACTGGTTGTTACTTCTCATTATTGTGAGACCGGAAATTCCTTGGTCGGATCCCTCTCATGGAGTCATATATGAGCATTTTTGGAGTGTCCCATACTATAAATAAATAGCTACTAAGTTTTTACTGGTTGTCTAAGTCAGGTCAATTAGTAAACTATATAACCCAACAATCTCAGCAAACTCATGACACTAATATTATTTATTTTAATTTTTAGCATGCGTTCTCGTTCCCTTTACAATTTATCACTGAAATCACCTCAAGTAAAATGTACTAATTTAGAAACGATCAATATAAATAATAATTCATCAAAATCCACATCTTTATCTATGTTGAATATTTCAAGTGAACTGAACGATACACTATTGTTTCAATGTTCACCAAAAAATAAAGACAGCAAAATTTTGAATTCAAATTCATTAACGTCACCAAATTACATCAATTCAAAGTTTTCCAATCATAATAAATCTCATGAAGTTATTGCATTAGGTACTTTAAAAATACCTCCAATAAAACCACCCGGTGGATGTGTACCATCTGAACACATATCTAAAGAAACAGATTCCCTATTGCCGTGTAATCATCTCTACAAAACTAATATTGGCAGCAGTTCTATTTCCCTACCGAATATTCCACTTTCATGTATGATTCCAAGAGTAGTTTCAGAAGGATGTCTTACAAATATTTCATCAGTAGATCAATTTTCCTGGAGTAAATCTCGAAGGCGAGTAAAAGTTCGAAATCTCAAAAGAAATCATATGTTTGCTGCTAGGTATGTTGATTTCATATTCATACATTTTTACTTCAAAAACACCTTATTTCAAAGAAATTCACGAACAACTCTGTTTTGAAACATTCAAATACCTTGTTTATATTAATATTATTATTATTATTATTATTATTATTATTATTATTACTATTATTATTCAGAATTTCATTTTTCTCGTTATTGATATTTATAACTGCATTTTGACCAGTCTTTGTTAGCATTGATTCATCTTATGTGAATTCCCCCAATATAACCATTTTGCCCCCGAATGCCCTGGCATGGCCGAGGACAGGGAGAGTCCGCTCTCCCTCTCCAAATGCTCTCAGATAGCCACGCGTATACAGCCACTGCCTTATCGCAGCAGGGTTTTTCTTTACGAGATTGAAAGGAGTAAAAGCGCATGTCCGATGCTTTAACCGGGCTAGTGGACACGGAGGACCCACCTTGGGGAGTTGGAAAAACCTGGTTATAAATCAATGGTGCACATGGACTAATTGTTGGTCACTGGCTACTATTGGACTGCATCTCATGACGTTGCTTCACTGCCTTTTGGATCAGATCTTTAGGTCGAAGGCTCTAGGTGTGGCCTTATGGCTTCGGTCTAGGCACCCAGACAGTATCACAGCCCACACACAAATCAAGTGACTGGCGTGGCGCATATGTATTCCATGCCCCTCTGTACCAATATTTATGTGTTCAAATAAATAAAAAGTAACCATTTTGTCGCAATTTTTTCGAAATGGAAGAATTGTAGCTAGCCCAAGGAATGTGTGACATGGATTTCATCTTATGTGTGGAACTTGTCAGCTGGATGCATCTGCACTCCAGTGTTAATGTATACATTTTCGATATGATAATTCCTTTACTATTAAATTTCTTGACTTTATCTATTCACGGTTACTGGGATATTATCTTTAAATCTCCAAAACAAATTAATAATCTTTACTGTCTCCCCCCTCACAGATTCATTCCTTTGTTTTTTTATCAAGATGTTCTTACCTATAAGTGTCTCGGTACATGGCACTTTTGGACATCGAGTTATTTAAGATTATCCCAAAGCATCCTGTTGACTACTTTCAACCACCTGAAGTGGAATAATGTGGTCGCATCCCGCAACCAATTAGTTGAACATTGTGTGCTCTGTACATCCACTGACCAATTGCCCCAAAATATAAGTATTAAAAGTGCTGTTTAACGTCAAACTAGAATTAAAAATTAAATGTTACTCAATGTAATACACTCTGAGAATAATTAAATCGTAAAAACCTGTTAAGTAAGCCAATATCTCTAAAAATCATTTTCAGTTTAGTCATGATACTCAATCTACCTCAACAAACCCATGTAGTTTTATCGAGAAGTCATGACTGATGAAGTTCAAACATGTCTTGGGGGAAACAGTTGGATTAGATTATCGTTGGATTATACCGCAAGACTGAATGAATTTGAAATCATACCATCGAACCGACTGATTCTAATTGTTAATCATTCGCTGCGAGTCCTGAAGATCTGGTGTTCCATTCTTGTTTGAGTCATGGGCACACTGTTGAAGAGTTCCATGCTAGAATAAGACATATGTCTAATGTCATCTTGTTCCTAGTGGCAACATAACTGGAATCAATCTGTAACTATACTACCCACAAAAATACCATTCATGTCAGAAATAAAGTTTTCTGGGTTTTTTTTATTCCTTACAGTGCATTATGATAGTTTGTTTACATGTTAATATCCTTAGTCATACTTTACCTCTGTTGTTTTCTATATCCTAGAAAATTGCACTGTAATCAATTAAAAACTTATACTGCAGAGTAAGTTCATTCCATCTTCTTATTTATTTTCTTTAATTAATTTATTCAGTTTATAATAGGATGTTAATGTTTAGAATTTCTATCATTATTGAATGTGTTTACACTGGTTAAAGATTTAATATTAACGACTAGAAAAGTAAGTTTTCAATTAAATCAGTTTTTGTAATTTGTCAGTGCTCTATAAATTCATCTAAGAATATGATGTAACTTAACTTGTAAAAAACAAAACAAAATGTAAAATAATCCACCAGCTTAATACAAAATATTCTTATCAACTTTGGGCATATTATCCCAGTATGGATTATCTTTTAAAAGAATCCACTCAATTCATTGATTAAAATCATAGGAGTTACAATGAAGAGCCCATTGGACTGATTTTTCTGCTAATTTAGAACTATCTGTTTGATATTGAAGTAGAAGAGAACTGGAAATCTTTGAATTTTACAACAACTATAGTACCATTAAGTCGAAATTCAATATTGTATGTTTGCTGAGGCTGGTTGCCATATATACTATAGTCGGATGCTACAATCGTTCGGTGTTATACCGGTGAAGAATGTGCTGGTACTTTAGCTTATTAAAAATAGATTCTCCTGAAATTATATATGACAGTCTCATTAACCCTGGTGGGTTAGCATCGGACGAAATCTGGGCTGAGATCCCAAAATCTAAGTTAGCTTTTCTCACCATGTGTCTCATTTATTGTAAGCTGTCTACCAACTAAAGTAAGAGTATACTACGTAGCAGTTTTTTGTGTCTTACTGTATGACTATAAAACATGGCTTTCAAAGATCGAGGATATTCTCAGCCTAACAGTATGTAATCGTAGACGCCCTCGATCACAATGACGCAGATACATCCATACATTGTCTTCCTTTAGGTCCTGAGTTCCAAAACTGTCTTTCGTTATTTTATCCCATGAATTCATGTTTTCTTGGCGAATCAGTGTCTGTGATTAGTATTTTTTTATGCTACTTCAACTAATACTCTGTGATATCTAAACTTAAAACAGGTCCTTCCTCGCGTGTGACTGACTAAATGCTATGGAAGTGAAACACTAATAAACTGTGCATTCTTGAGATGTTGAATACTTCAAATGTTACTTTGACAGATGCATATTATCAATTGGCGACTCGAAAATGAACAAGGGCGAGTCGGATAACCCACTAGTTTTAGTTTTCATTCAATAATTTGATTAACAACCAGTGGCTTTACATAAGATATGTATAAAAGACTAGTAAGTACGTATTGATGCCAACTTTGCAGATATCAGGTGTATCTTAAATTTCATGCTTAATGTTCATGAAATCTTTGATATTTGATTTTAGTTGTTTGACATGTTAGTGTTGAAGTAACTTGGTTAAACTGCATAACTTATTACGTAAATGTTTTTATCTTAAACAAACAGCATTATGATCTTATCAAAAAATATTACGTCTATTCTATACATCTGAACAAGTTTTTTTCTTCAAGTTAACTCATTCACGAGATGCTTGAGTATAAGCCGAAATTTAAGTGTGAGGGCTAACAATGCTACTTTCTTACCCAAAACAGTGCACTGACTAGCCGTTTCGTCCTAGTATGAAACTCCCTAGCGTTCCGCTTCCGTGACCACCTGATCGGGAATCGTACCCTTGAGGGCAAACGAATAACCCCCAAACCACCATACTGTATGCCAATAGTGTACAAGTGATCTCGATAAAATTCAGGAATCTCGAAAACTTCATTTTAACAATTTTCATCAGCTCACTAATGACTATCTTTAAGGGAAATTCTATTGAAAAGCCGTGACTAAAGTAGCTCAACCGTGTCGAGTATGAGGAAGTTACCCACTGGAGACAACTGAAGGTAGTTGCTTAGTATCGTGAAATGATTTCATTATTTTACTTCAGCCCAGCGGTCTAAAAGTTATGGGTTTTCCCGAAGGTTCTGGGTTCAAGTGTCAATTACGAAGTAATGAATTCTTACTTCTAGGATGAAGTAGTTGCTTCTAGATTTTCAATAATTATATAACTGAGGTCGAATCATGATCTCAATAAAACTCAACAACCTCCCTAATCCTGATTTTGTAAAGCATCGATATAACCGATTCAAAAGTCTTCATAAAAACAAAAAAATTATTTTACATTGTGAACTACTATTATAAATAAAGCTTCTGTTATATCCTATGCCCTATCAAATATCACTTGACAAAATTGCAGATCAGAATACCAACTTCTGTGACCTTGTCCCTGTGCGAAACCAATGACACGCCAACCAGCATTAGTAGCCTAAAGTCAACTCTGAGTCTTTATTGGTTTTTCTCACCTAGCCCTATCCGTTTGAGTCTAGAACACAATCTTAGCCTCCACTGTATGATTAATATATTTCAGACATACATAGTTTATATACAAGCAAACCAGACAGTATCACACCATAAATTAAAAAAAATAACTATACAAGATCAAACTAAAAATGTCTGTAAGTATGAGAGACTGTAACTAATAGATTTGGAAATAAGTTAAGAATAGTATATTGTATAATAGTAGTCAATAGGTCAAATTAAAGTTTATGATAAAAGGCATATGAATATATAAATATAATCTAATCATACTGCACATTTATTCAATAAGATCATTGAACTCATCTAAACAACCAAGTTATTATTTATTAGATTTTGTCAATAAAAATGTATCGCATATATATATATGGCGTTGTTGACAAAACAACACAAAAAAATAGATAAGTTTCATACTTTACTACAAACAATATCATTTCAGTTTCTCTTAATGTTTATTTACCACACACGTATACTCTGTCTGTATAATTCCTCATTTATGTTCGACAAAGCATAATTTTGTTCATCTTTCTTTTCATGTCAATCATTATTGTTATTAACTTTAAGCTTAGAAATGTTTGTTCATTTTCTAAAGTCCCTTTATCTATTTGTTTGTCTTAGATTAAATAAATTTAGGGCGTACACTCTTAATATGTATAAGTAGTCTTCAAACTGGCATTATTATTAAGCTTTATTTTATTTCGATAAATTTATATCGTTTGTTCAGTTTATTGATATTTTTTTATTGTTTTTTTGTTTCTAGTTTAGCCTATTTAAGCAGTTGTTCAGATTTACACCTTAGTATTTTAGAAAATGAATTTAAAACAATAAATTATCACCCATTGTCAATAAATGATTCTTTTACAATGATTTCAAATGCATCTATTCCTTATTCTTCGTTTGAATCAAAAAAACGTCTAACTAAATCAAGTACCATTTTATCAACTAAGGATGAATTCATTTTGGATGTACCATCTTCATTGACACCATCATTTTCTAATATTGATTTAGTGGATGGTATGCAACAACAGAGTATGAACGGTTATAGTTTTCTATCGCATTGTTGGCCTAATCAACGGAATACTACTGGTTGTCGTAATCACTATAGGCAACAAGCAAATAGTTTAAAAACGTCTAAAGATCATTTAGTGAATGTAACTTATACCGATAGTAATGATAAGAAGCGGTCCACTATCACTACTCACAATAATAATAACAGTAATAATAATTATAATAATAGTGGTAAATATCAACGACCGAAATCGCTAACTATTGGGAGCAATCAAGCGAATAGATTAAATCAACAAATTATTACTGAATTACGTGACTTTTCCACATCTTGTCAGTATGATCAAGAAAGAAAAGTAAATCATCTGAATGGCCCTTTTGCTACAACTGAAGCAACTATTGACAACTGTAATAATAAACAACGTTTATCTAGTAATTCCGATTCTTCGCATTCATCATTACATTGTAATAAATGTTTACCATTATTACCTACAGAATTATTATCATCGGAACATGATAACCGATTGAAAGAATGCGGTTATCAGGTTTCCAATTTATTAAGTAGTGATGAAGAATTATCAAATAAAAATTCACCGAAACTTAGTGTTCTAGAAATGTTGAACACCATCGATTTAGACAGTTGTGGTGAAATACTTCCGAAAAAAGCTACAACTATTAACTATGCTGTAAGTATTTTGCAAATAGTCATTTGTTTTCATTTCGTATAATAACTAATTAGATCATTGCAAATCAATCATCTTTGTTTTACTCTATATATATTAGTTAATTATTAATTCACCTAATAACTTTTTTAGATTAACTATTACTACTCTGTATGGGGTTGTGGAGATTGTCGAGTTTTTGATTGATATCATGAATAGATCGGTGTTAGACAACTATTGAAAACCTGGAAGCACTGGACGACCGCTTCATCCTAGTATGGTACTCGGCAGTGCGCATCCACGATCTCGTGCGCGGGATTCCAACCCAGTGTTTCCAGGTTTTAAATGGTGATCTAACACCGATCCATTAATGATCTCAATCAAAAAAATATTACTACTCTATCTCGTTTTAATTATTGCCTTCATTTTGTATCAGTGTGCTCACGTCTGTACATTGATGTACATTCTGTTATCGTTTTCATAATGTAAAATTTTTGTTTGATGGTTGGAGCTAATTTGCCGAAAATTATAAACCTAGGTCACGTTCTACTTTGCAAATTCATCGGCAAGACATACTTCCAAGCCCGAAGTGGGGCTTGAATCTTTGTCAACATGCTTCACAGTCTAAGATATTGTTTGCACTGAATATATATAATTGCTACGATATATTTCAACTTTGCAATGTTAAATAGTTAAAGGCAATCAAATGGAAGCTCTCTGGATCTGTGTTTCAGTGTTAGACCTCGTTTGTCAACAAAGCATATCCTCAATGCTGTGAAGTAATCCATGCTTCCCTCAGCGGGACTCGAACCCTTGTCACTATTACTGAGGTTAGATTTTCGCTCTCTAATTAATCGTTTATTATTAGTAGCTATTATCATGTCGTTCTGTAGTGCTTACTACCGATCAAATCATATGATACATATTTTATATTTGTGTAACATTTCAATCGTTTGAAGTAGTTGACTGATGAATCATGTATAATAAATAACAAGAAGTTCATTTTTATTTCTTAATGTTTATCACGTTTATTTCTGAATAAAATAGTAAACAAAGTGAATTTTATTTAAAACGCCACAGCTTGAACATATATCTTTTAGTATGGATAATGAAATAATGTAGTCAGAACATCATTAATCGATTTCTTTCCCCATAGTTTATAAAACAAATTCATTTAATTTAATACGGTGAAATTTAATCATACACGCCTCTAAGGTTCTGAATTTCCTATCTATCTTTATCTATGATTAGTTATTGAATGACAATCCTACCCCCTATACAATATATAAAAAATTACGCAATTAGATTTACTGAGTATTCAATCTATATTATTTTTAATCAAATCTAAATGGGGTCTGACTCTCATACATCATTATATTTACATACAAAATTTGGAAAGTAAATTAAGTCATTTTAACAGTTTACACTTAGCTAAAATGAATCTGAGTTAAAAGTTGTTTAGAAAACATGGAATCGTGAACGCATTGCGAAGGCCGTTTATACACGACCGTTTCCTGACTAATTTCAAATAAGTTAACTCCATACTTTTAGGGTCTCATCTCTGACAATGGGAACCCTTGAAGTAAGCTGAGATGTATTTTTTCAAAGTTGGTTATCTCTGATCTACTGCGTCAAGGCACCTGTGCAGGATCACAAATCGTCACACAAACCATGTATTTTAGTGCTGGGGTTATAAGTTTGTACCTGATATTCCAGTTACATAGTGATCCCATTAAGTCAAAACTGCGTCTTTAATATACTATCTCTAATATTTAACATTTATAATACTGTCCTTGACATTTCTACATAATTCTTTTCTAAATTTTTCGTTTTTCTTACTGTAGACTTCTAAGAGTTGCGAACTTTCAACACATTCACTTACTAATCAAAAACGAATTAAAAAAACAAATTCTTTAACTTTTACATCTTCGTTATCATCCAAAGAACAAAATGATAATTATCGAAATACATTAAATGGTATCCATTTAGATATTAAAAAATCTCACTCACTTGTTGATATATTATCACCTGGTGTAATGGAATTTTTACGTTTTAAAGAACTTGTTAAACGACAAATTGCACCACATTTTCAAGGTTATGTTTATAGTGATTTTGTTAAACTCGCTGCACCATATCCATATTTTTCAGAAGCACCTGTATTCAGTGCTGATGTACATCTTATAATTTGTGTTCATGGTCTAGACGGTAAGTTTACAATGCTTATTGTATAAATGTAAACGTTGACTAAATGGTATACGAACTAAAGTTGTACCACTGCATGTATATATTCCTTTTTATTATTGTTCATTCGGATATCTTTCGTTATAGGTTTACAAATGATTATAAGGACTTGTGTTAACTAAACCTACTAGTTACTCCTTAGATTGATTTCACTGAAAAATACAATCGTTAGTTTTGAAAATGTCATTCGTTATTGCTAAATTCATTGCTTAGTTTACCCGACCGTTGTTGCTACCTTAACGTGTTGGTCGGGCTTGCCTATCGTGATGAAGCAACCGAGCTATACTGGATGGAACAACTGTTCTTCAAGGTCCTACCATGTCAGACAGGTCGGTTGAAGAGCGGTAAGACTAAAAGCAACAAACCCAAGGTCCGAAGGCGAAGTCGTACTGCTGACTGTACAGAGGTGTGACAGCAGTAAGGTGTTTCCTCCAGACAACCAGCATGGCATCTGGTAACTACCGGAAGCTCTTCCAACTCATCCGAGCCACTGGCAGCAAGAAGTCTGGTGTGAGTGAAACAATCTGCGAGGATGATGGGATGCCAATCACTAACATCCATCGACGTCTTGGACGATGGGCAGAATTTTTTGAAGGGCAGTTCAACTGGCCTGCTGCTCCGGCAACATCGGTCAGACTGTCCTGCCCCCCATGGCCGGTGACGACTGATCCACCAAATGAGGAGGAAGTCCGCAAGGAACTCCAACTCTTGAAGCGTTACAAATCACCTGGCCCAGATGACTTACCTCCGGCTCTTTTTAAAGATGGTGGTGACTTTTTGACTAAGGAATTGACGACGTTGTTTACAAAGGTTTGGGAACTAGAGAGTGTACCAACGTCATGGAATGAGTCGATAGTTGTCCCTATCTTTAAAAAGGGTTCACGTCGTTCTTGTAACAACTATCGGGGGATAAGTTTACTTCCGATTGCGTCCAAGCTATTGGCTTCCGTCATTCTTCGTAGGTTGTTCAAAACCCGAGAAAGATTGACTCGCGAGGAGCAGGCTGGGTTTCGTTCTGGTCGAGGATGTATTGATCATATCTTCACCCTTCGCCAAATGTTAGAACACCGCCATACTTTTCAAAGGCCAACAATCGTAGTGTTTCTTGACATCAGGGCTGCCTTCGATTCGTTGGATAGGACTGTTCTCTGGGATTGTCTATTGAAGAAGGGTGTGCCTGAGAAGTTTATTAACATCCTAAAAGCCCTGTATAAAAACACCTCAGGCAGAGTGAGGGCATACAACCACCTCTCTCCATTGTTCCATTCGAGCAGTGGGGTTAGGCAGGGTTGCCCAATCTCACCATTCCTCTTCAACTTTGCCATCGATGACATTCTGGAAACAGCTCTGATGAATGTAAGTAATGGTGGTGTGGATCTGTTGCCTGGAGAAAGACTTCTCGACCTTGAGTATGCGGACGATATTGTCTTACTGTGCGATAATGCCCAAGGCATGCAATCTGCACTTAATCAGTTGGCAATCAATGTCCGTAGGTATGGTATGTGCTTTGCACCTTCGAAGTGCAAAGTACTTCTACAAGACTGGCAGGATTCTAATCCTGTACTCACCCTGGACGGTGAGCAGATAGACGTAGTTGAGAAGTTCGTGTATCTGGGTAGCTGCATAAGTGCTGGTGGGGGTGTGAGTGATGAGATCAATGCACGAATAGTGAAAGCCAGAGCGGCTTATGCCAATCTGGGCCATCTATGGCGCCTTCGTGATGTTAGTCTGGCTGTAAAAGGCCGGATCTACAACGCGTCGGTGAGAGCAGTTTTGCTCTATGCTTGTGAAACCTGGCCTCTCCGAGTTGAGGACGTTAGACGACTCTCTGTGTTCGATCATCGCTGTCTCCGAAGGATTGCTGACATTCAGTGGCAACACCATGTCAGTAATGCAGAGGTTCGGCATCGTGTGTTCGGGCACAGAGATGATAACTCACAGCGATGCTGCCTTCCCACAAGGAGGGGTGGGGTTAGAAGCGGTCGACCCTAAAAATGCACACCTCGCCTTATTCCACGGATATCCGTCTCCGGCGGTAAGGTCCCAAAAAGTACGGAGCTAACACAACAATTACCCATAAAAAGGTCGTGTGTGACCGACCTCAAGCAGTTGTCCCTTGGGCACTGCTGTCACGCTCCCAGGTCACTAAGACCACCTCTAATCCAGTTTCCTTTTCAGGTACCTCCAGAAGAACCCTTCCACGGTGTGGGCAACCGGGGAGTGATAACCGCCCTCATACCTCTAACAGCACCAAAGACCACTGTATTCCTAATCAACCTCCGTCTTCATTTCCTATTACTCCTCCTACATCAACTCTCACCTCTAAACTTCCTTTTTCGGCTTCGTCCTCAAATGTCACGATAGCCAACGATTCTAGTGCTCAAAACACTGTCCCAGGTCTACTGAAACCCTAGAATCTCGTACCATTGATGTATGCTGTGTCTCTGAAACACGCATACAGGATCCCAGTGTGGTCATTCACTTGACCTCACCTCGGCAACACGGAGAGCCAGCGAGATACTCCCTCCGTGTATCTGGTGACGCGATGGCCAGCTCTCGTGGACTGGCAGGAGTAGGGATAGCACTAAGCATGAGGCGGAACAAGCATTGTTAGAGTGGATCACCGTTAACAGTCGTTTATGTACTGTTCGGCTAAACGGCTACGTAAGAACTCGGAAGGATGGGGACACACGTCGTTGCCTTTTCGTCGTTTTTGCCTACGCTCTTACTGACTGCAGCTCAGATGAAGTGAAAGATGAATTTTACAGAAAGCTTTCTGAACTTCTTCAGTAAGCTAAACGTTCAGACATAGTACTCATAGGGGGTGACTTTAATGCCCAGATAGGTAGTTTAAACCAAACAGATAGGCATTTAGGTGGGTATTTTAGTATTCCGACACATCGAACAGATAATGGTGATCGTCTGCTGCAACTGTGCTCAGACAATCGTTTATTTTTAGCAAACACAAATTTTAAGCATAAGGAGAGACATCGTCTAACATGGCGACCCCCTACACCAAACCAACGATGGACTCAAATAGACCATAATGCCATCAGTCATCGTTGGAGACGGTCGGTAGAAGATTATCGCTCATTCTGGAGTACCTGCTTGGACTCCGACCACGCTCTAATACGGGCACGCATCTGCTTGCGCCTCACTGGACGCATAAAAGCCACAATGAAAAGACCCATTAGAACTGAGTTGAGTAACGAGAAAACCAAAAGTAGGTTCCAGGAACAACTGAGGTCACACTTAGGTAGTTCTGAAAACGAGGCTGACCCAGATGTTGCTTGGAAAGCTATACAAACAGCTGTGGAAACAGCAGTGACATCTATTAGTGACTTAAACGACAGGGTTACAAAGAACCAATGGATTTCCTCAAGGTCTATCACACTGATGAATTCTCGTAAACTCATCCCATCAGGTTCTGAACACGATGAAGAGCGAAAACAAATCAGATCTAGTTTGAGCAAAAGTCTAAGGAACGATCGTGAGCAGTGGTGGGCAACGAAAGCAAAAGTGATGGAAAAGGCGGCGGCTTTAGGGAACACAAGACAGCTCTACAGACTAATAAAAGAAACTGGAATTAACAAGTCAAGTGTAATTCAGACTATTTCGGAAAAAGATGACACCCTCATCTGCTCTCAGTCCAGACGTCTAGAACGATGGGTGGAACATTTCAGCTGGCCTTCAGCTACTCTACAACTACCCTCCATTCCCAGACAGTGTGAATGGAACACTGAAGTAGGTCTCTCAACTCTAGCAGAAGTTAAAAAGGCTATAGCTAATCTGAAACGAGGAAGGGCAGCTGGTCCGGATGGATTGGCTCCAGAGGTCTTTAAGGATGGTGGTCCAATTTTAGCGATAAGGTTGACTAATATTTTATCTAAAATCTGGGAGTTAGACGTTATTCCATCTGACTGGTCACAATCACTTATCGTCCCAATATATAAGAGAGGGTCAAAATCATCCTGTGACAACCATAGAGAGATTAGTTTAACAAATATAGTATCTAAAATACTAGCCTCGATAATTATCAGACGCCTTACTAAGACTCGTGAACTGCAAACACGAGAGAACCAAGCTGGCTTCAGACCTAGTCGTGGCTGCATCGACCACATATTTGCCATTCGTCAGGTTCTAGAACACAGGCATACTTATCGGCGTCCGACAATGGTGGTCTTTCTTGACTTAAAAGCAGCATTTGACTCGGTAGACCGCGAGATTGTGTGGCAGTGTCTGTCATTGAAAGGCGTACCTCAGAAGTACATAAACCTTGTGAAGGCTCTCTACTCGAACACTGCTAGTCGAGTCAGAGCTTATGGCGAACTGTCATCTACTTTTGCAACCTCAAGTGGTGTCCGTCAAGGCTGTCAACTTTGTCCATTTTTGTTTAACTTTATCATAGACCTACTGATGGAAATAACGCTCTCGTCGATTGAATTTTCAGACATTGATCTCCTATCGGGAGGTCCACTTATCGACTCACAATACACAGATGACATAGTCCTGTTTGGTGAAGACGCTGATAAAATGCAGAGTCTTTTGGTAGCACTGAGCAACAATGCCAGAATGTTTGGAATGCGCTTCTCTCCCTCTAAATACAAGTTGTTGCTTCATGACTGCTCTACGTCAACACCCGAACTAAGGATAGGGAGTCAAGTAGTTGAACACGTTGAAAACTTCACTTATCTTGGAAGTCTGATCAGCCCTAATGGGTTGGTGTCTGACGAAATCTCAGCACGTATTCGAAAAGCTCGCTTGGCTTTTGCCAACTTGCGTCACCTTTGGCGAAGGCGAGATATCCGTCTATCAATTAAAGGACGAGTATACTGCGCGGCAGTCCGTTCTGTTTTAATTTACGGCAGCGAAACATCGCCATTAAGAGTAGAAGACACTCGTAAGCTACTAGTATTTGACCACAAACGCCCTAGAAATATTACTGGCGTCTGCTGGGATCACCGGGTAAGTAATAGCGAGGTTAGACGTAGGGTATTAGGGAAGGATGGTAAATCAGTTGATGAGGTTGTGAATCTTCATCGACTGATATGGATGGGCCACGTGTTACGTATGCCTGAACACCGATTACCACGACGTGCAATGCTAACCGGTGTTCGAGATGGTTGGAAGAAAGTAAGTGGCGGCCAAACCAAAACGTGGCATCAGTGCTTGAAGTCACTAACTTCTAGTCTGAGCCATGTTGGTAGATGCAGACTACTTGGTTGGGGTCCGCGTGACTTTCGTAACCAATGGTTGGAGACTCTTGGTGACGTGGCTCAGAATCGATCCCAATGGCGTCGGTGTATACACTCTCTGTCTTCCCTTAAACTAAGATTAAAATCGCTTCATATCTTTCTTTCTACGAACTAATTCTTTCTTCGTATACTATATCCTTATATGCAATCTTTCTCTTATATATTACCACCTCTGAATTAACTACTTATATGAATCCGGTGTCCATCTTGTTGTGTTAATGAGGTATGGCAACCTGGGCCGATGCACATATGTGCCTGGTCCTACGTTGTAGCTGACTGACTGACTGACTATTTTACTGTTAACAAAATATCAGATTTGGTTAAACCAATTATCTGTTAAGAAACGTTAATAGAATAGTTTCAATAATTCGTCCATGAAAACTACTTCTTAGCCGCTTGATGAACTACAGAAAAATTCATCTCAGTCTTCAATTTACTTCATTTATGTACTGAATTCACAGTGACTTGTTTTATACACTTGCACCGTTCAATACGTAACAAGTACGAAAAGATTGATTTCCTATGCTTGACGACGGTTGGCCCAATTCTAACTAGCTCGGAATGAAGAGGAAGAACACAAGATCAATGATCACGAGTTCAAGATCGTTTTCGTATTTCAGGCACATGCAGTTTATGTACAAATAGATCAGACCACATCACACCACAAAATGAAAAATATTAATTATACAAGATCAAACCAAAAGGTGACTGAGTTATAAAACTGCCAACAGATTAAAAATAAGTCATACAACAAAAACTAATAAGTTAATCGAACGTTTATGATAAAAGGTATATATATCGGTATGGCATAGTTTTGATAATGAACCCGTTTTGATGGATTCTTGATTTAAATTGTTTTATAGAAAATAATGTTTTAATGTCACAAATGGTTGTCTCTTTTTTCTTGCTTATCAGGTAACTCATGTGATTTGCGTCTTGTACGCGTTTATCTTCAACTAGCTTTACCAGATTGTAACTTACATTTCCTTATGTCAGAGTGTAATCAAGACGATACATTCGGTGGTTTCGATATGATGAGTGAGAGATTAGTTAATGAAATTGTAAATTATATCGATGAAATGGATGAAAAACCAAAACGAATTAGGTAAACACTTCTTATTTTTTTTAGTTTACATTCTCAATATTTTCTGTCGAAGAATGAACAATTGAACAACCTCTATTCAATATGTTCAATGTATTTATTCAAATGATTACATAGTTGAATATCAGTTCGACTCGATCCGTGAATGAGCCATGGGTGGATAATATTGATGATGAAACAGTTTTCCAATCCTCTCTTGTTTTCAATGGCTTGCTGGCTAGTGTTAATCGTAATAAGGACTATATTCATAATTAGTTGCTTCTTAATTTACCAGTAAAAATATTGTTCAGTTGAAGGTATTTTACGAAGTATGGTTTAGTGTTGTATTCGTTATAGATCTATCTCAGTTAGGGTGCCAATGAAAATCATAGGGAAATCAGACAGCCATTTGGTTTCAGTGTGAATCCCTCATCACTGCGAGGCTGAACCCCCACCACAAAACTTGAAGTACATTATAGTTTAGGTATATATATATATATATATATCCCTCGAAAATAACTGTTTATCTTTGATAAACAATGCAAGAATAAGAATGTTTACACAGTAGGTTTTCAATCTTGTATTTGTCCTTGACACTTTGTAGATATACTCAAGCTACTAATCGAAGTCTCTATGTATTTCATCTTCCATCAAACATTTACTCAGTATGTCGACAATGGAATTGGTATTTTATTTTTTATGTAGCTCCTGGATGTGCTTAGTGACAGCATTCTAATCAACGTTGTTTAGATTATGAATCAGCGCGCTGAACATAGCTTATATTTCAAGGTTACTCGATTTGCGAAAATTATCTTTATGCATTCACTAATTTTCTTATTCTTACGTTTTGTACTCATTCTTGCTTTATTGTTATTTTTTATTTATTACAGTTTTATTGGACATAGTATGGGTTGTATTATAATACGTGCAGCATTGTTGAATTCACGAATGGAACCATATTTATCTAAATTGCACACATTTCTGTCTTTAAGTGGTCCGCATTTAGGCACAGTATACAATTCATCTGGTCTCATTAATATGGGCATATGGGTTATGCAAAAAATTAAAAAATCTGAAAGTCTTTCACAATTAAGACTGCGAGATGATCCAGATTTACGTAATACGTATTTATATCGTTTAAGTACTAATCCTGGCTTGGACCTATTTCGTTATGTTCTGTTGGTTGGAAGTCCACAAGATCGTTATGTACCGTATCATTCAACACGAATTGAATTGTGTAAAGCTGCAATTAAAGATTCTTCTACTCTTGGTTAGTTTTATTTAAGCGTGTGTATTTTTCTGTTTACCGCCTTTGATATCCATACAAATGTCGTTAAGTGTTTGCTCCTTGTTTTTTTGTAAACAAGAGAGTAACTGTTTCGAACTTTACTGTCCTTCTTAAGTTTGTAGCCTTAATTGCCATTCTGTAGGAGTACAAGTTTTCTTAGTTGTAACCTGAAAACATTCACGTAAAAGATTTACATTTTATATTAAATGAGAAACTAGTAAATATGTGACATTAATTAGGTTATCTTTGATAATCACGACTTGCACCCTTAATTATTGTTAAACGCTGAGAATCATAATTCAACATTACTATTTGATTATAGCTGGATTTTGAATGAATAACCTTTGAGTCACCGCATTCAGTAGATTTTTTGGAGGAAACAAACAGAAAGATTTGTATCATAGCCTCCAGGTTAGTGTGACACCCATAGGTAAGGCCTAGTTTCAGTTCGAAATTCTGGCTTTGATGATGATTCACTAGAGTAGCATTTACAGGACTGTTAGTTGAAATTGATATTTCATCATGCTTTCTTACCAAAATTAATCTATTATTCTTTTATAAACATCAGTAATTGACCATGACTTCCACATAATATTTATCCGTAAGATGGGAAGTGCAGAAATCATCAGCTTTAATTAACTCATTCATAATCGTCTTTCATGAGGCCTTCCTTACAATGTTAACTGGTTGGAGACAATCAGCTAAAAACCCAACACCTGGTCTTTGTGCTAGTTGATACCCGTCAGTAGTGTGTATCGATATTCCTCAGGGAGTTTGTGTTTCCATAAAATTCAAGCCTTCATCATCATTCTTGTATATATTCAACATTGTTACTTCCTAGTCAAACTATTGCCTTTTAATTATTATCTATTCTCCTAGATACTATTGAAGTAAAAAAGATAACATATAACTGACTCATGATTTCAATCTGTGGAAATATAATGTTAACTTGATGAAATTGTATTTGCTGTGGAAAATGTAGTTTTTCAACTTGACTTTGATGAATTTCAACATATACAAATAATTAGAACTAGTATTCATATTGTAAATATTTTAAATACAAGTTAGAATGTACTGTAATTAGTTATTTATTATTTCTGTATTCACATCCAGGTATCGATGTAAATAAACATAAACTTTTATTACTATAATTATTATTACTCTTTTTCATCATTATTGGATCAACTCTAATTAAACTTGAGTGTGACGGAGAAGATTTGCGGCTCAGTTAGATTCTTGTGATGCTGTTGAATTCTTGGAGCCAGATGGTTTGATTGTGTAGCCTTCATTATCGTTCCAGTGAACATCATCAGCTCTTACGTCAAGTATATGTGGACTGCTTATTTTTTCAACGAGTCTTGAATCAGTTTGTACTGATGGCCTTCTTTGTGATCAGTTACTTTCAAAGTTTTTCTTGTCTTTATTTGTCCTCTTATTTACGTTGGGTTTCTCTGTCAGTTGACCTCCAACCAGGCTGTGGATTGATATCTTTCAGATAGGTTGATAGATCGGTTGTAACTCAATGAGTCTATTGATTTCTGAATAATCTGAACATCATAATTTCATAATTCCTTTTACATTGTTAGAATTCCGTCTCCTCAGTTAAATATATGCTTGTCGTTATCTAAATGCATTGATATCAGTGATGATATACCGTGTTTTTCCAAAGAAAGTTTTTTTTAATACATTGGCGAACACGGCGTTTGTTTTGTCCAATTTAACATTTTTATCAGTGGGTGTAGTTTATTTTGTAGATGATATTGCACTTGTCTTTTGTTATTATGTCTTTTGGTTTGCATAAAATAAAGTGGAATAAATGCTTATTTAATGAGTTATTTTTCATAGCTGATAAGATTATCCGCTTCTTAATTTCTGAGGTTGATTTAAATGTGGTGAGTCATTTCAACAAACACTTTTTGATGAGCTTTCTAGGATATCCGCCTCTACAAAAAAAAACTGATTGAAGATGAGTTCATTCACTTTTTTCACGTAGTAACAATGCCACAATGCATTTTAGTACTTGAAAATAATGTCTGAACACAATTCTTCTTGTGTATTGTCTAGCGCTGATGAATTTTTCCAGAATGACAATGAAAGCTCTGCCATTAAACCATCTAGTTTAGAAAACTCAAAAGCATCTTTAAATCTTTTATGTATTGGGCATTCGAAAATTCCGAAAAAGCGATTTCGTTTTTTTTTTCGTATTAGTAATTATATATAACAGAACTAGTTGTTTGATATTCATACCTATAGGGATCTAGTTCAATCCAAAAAGTTATTGTTTGTTGATCTTAACTATCTTGTTGTAAATCCAAGCAACCTGGTTGTCATTCGAAAGATAGACACGATCAATTGTTTGGAGAGTTTAGGTAACATGACGCAGAGTCAGTCACAGTGCGGTGTATATGCGTTTTCTATCCGCCAGTTTTCCTGCACACATATCTTTCCATTTCTTTTTTTCGAACTACATTTTCACCATCTAATTCTGCTCATTATGCTACTTTAGCTATTTTGACTCATTTTGTAAAATTTCACCTCATCGCGGTAATATAGTATGCAACTTATGCCAACCCGTATTTGTGTCAAGCTGATTAACTGGCTGAGTTACAAACTAATTATCTATAAATACACTGTACAACATATCAAATTAATTAGTTTGTAACTATTAAAAACTTAGTTTATAACACGTGCTTAAGTGATTGATTTGTGACGGATGCACAATATCGTGGATTGGTTGAAGTTAAACATTCACACCATTGGATGCTGGCTCAGTGGTCCAGAGGTTAGGCGTTCGTGCGCGAGACCGAAAATCCTGTTCGGGATCGTGGATGCGTACTGTCGAAGAGTCCCGCAATAGGACGAAACGGCCATCCAGTGCTTCCAGGTTTTCAAAGGTGATCTGGCATTGATCGATTCATGAATTCAACTGTGTAAATACTATGATCTCCACAAATTCCCATACTAACTGTTATTGACTCATACATTTTTTGTTTGATTTTATCAAATTCTAACATTTTGCTGTATTTTATGTCAATAATTCAGTAATATTTTTTACATATTTTATTCATGAATGTGACAGGAATTATTTATATGGAAATGGTTACAAATTTGTTACAACGTTTTATTCAATCAACCCGTACCACTGTAGTACGTTATGATGTACATTATAATCTAACAAATTCAGCAAATACACTAATTGGTCGTGCTGCTCATATCGCTGTGTTAGATTCTGAAATATTTTTAGAGAAATTTATTTGTGTTTCGGGTGCTAAATATTTCCGGTGATTATAATTAAGTGTACTTGAAAATGATATGATTTGCCGCTTGCTATGTTGTTATTATTATTGTCTACATTGAAGAAGAATGATAATAGTATGCAATTCAACTTGATTACTGTTTACAAAGTTATGTAAGTCGTCCATTTTGAATAATGTTATACATGTGCATTACGAACTAACCGGTTTTGTGCTTTGTAATGAATATATATATATATATATATATATATATATATATATATATATATATATATACTGAGTATTGTTAAATTACCTCTAATGAAATGAATTACTATATCTAATCTATCAAGTTTAGTTTTTAACTCTCCCCCCCCATTCTATCATACTAATCTGATAATTAATTTTGTATCATTAGGGGGGTTTGAGGAGATCATAGTATTTTTACGGCTGAATTCACGAGTCGACCTAAGCCAAACCACCATTAAAAACCTAGAAGCACTGGACGGCCGTTTCGTCGTAGTATGGGTCTCCTCAACAGTGAGCATCCACAATTCCACACATGGAACTCAAACACAGGACCTTCGGTCTCTCGCGCATACACTTAAGCTCGAGACCACTGACCCGGCATCCAACGGTGTTAATGTATAACTTCAATCAGTCACTTTTTTTCTAGTGTATAATAATTATTCATCGATTTAAGCAATGAAACGGTTGGAGTTAAGACAATTACTGATCAACAATGGCGATATATGATGTTCAGCTGTATTCAACTATAAACAATTATGAAATGATAGTATAACAGCATCTACCTATCAGGGTAATTAATCACAATACAAACATCCATTTGAATGTTTCAAATTTTCTGTCAAAAATATAGAAAATATGTCCATAACTATTTACTTTAATAGTGAAATGATCCACAATGAAACATTCAATTTATTGGTAGCAGACAGAAACTAAAATCCAAAATTTGAATGTCAGCTCAATTATCCTTTAAAGGATGATATGATTATCATTATGATTGGATGACTTAGGCAAGATAGATTATATAAGTGCCCTGTTAATTGTCATCTGATTGTCTCTACCCTCTTATGTGATTCCTACTATGTTGAAATTATATAAGGCTTATAACAGTTATCGATTATTGTTTGTCCTTATATTTCATCAAATGACAAAAGTCGATAAATATATGAAATTGTATTATTATTATTATTACATCCGAACGAAGAATAAATGAATGGTAACTGCTAGGAATTATTTATGGACTATTATTATATATATTGCTATTGGATAACTTTTAAGCAACCAGATTATATATATATTCGTATTCCTTTTATCATAAGCTTTCATTTGACCAATCGGCTACTGTTATACGATTTACCATTCTTAACTTATTCGCAATCTGTCAGTTACAGTCTCGTGTACTGATCTATCAACAAATATATCGAGTCCAATTGAACTTTTTTGTATGATAACTTCTTTTTTTACTGATTAGTTAGTTGGTAGTCTTTTAAATTGTAAATCATCTTATCATTTCAACTGTTGCTAATGACAACTGATTTCTGACTAGTAACTTACAGCTGTTAAACAATTTTCACTGTATTTTTTTCTTTTCATTTATATTATTGTAGATATACATGTGTCCGGTTATACTCTGTTGTTTGGTAATTAAATGCAATATCTGTTCAAACTACTCGATTAAAAAAAAGAACTCTTAATTAACAAGAAGATACGTGGAGGGAATACGCAAAAGTCTATCGCATTTACATGTTTTTTTTACAGTAGATTCTATGTATATATTTGTGTGTTGTAAACTTGTACTCACTAATAAATTACATCCGAACAAGCATATCAACTAGTGACATTGGGTTTTCTTCAATTTACTCATTATTTACTTATTTCACTCCTCTCCTACTTTTTATTGTTTTTTGATAATAGAATTCCACAATTTCTGTAGTTTACTCAGCGTACTTATTCTATTTTGTTTTGTTCCAACGCATAGGAGGATTAATAATATGTTTGTTTTCTAAATACTACTGAAATATATATTGCTTGTAAAGCGATATCAATAATAGAAGCAATAGTATTGAGAGAAACAGTGAACTATACGTTCTTCTTTGTCGTACAGTCTTTTTCTTTGTATTGATGATTACGTATAGTTTTTTTAATAATCATATGCAATATTCCAAGTCTTTTATTTGCTTTCCTCTACACAATCATACATATTAATAAATAATTCAGGATATAGGAACCTTCATTTGCTGTATTGTGTGTGCAAGTACAACAACGCATACTCATTGTGATCAGTTATTTTTTCTCAACTTTGTTATTTTGTGTTTTTTCCCTGCATATTTTGTTCATTGTTTGTACTTCTTTTGTTTTCATACTGACAATCGCGTGTTGTTTTGTTTCTTTACATCTTTTTCGACTGCCATGTTTTACATCTTTATGATTAATAACACACGATGAGGTAACAATGACGAACAATATGTGTTTGTTCTTAAAACGTTCTAGAAAGCAAAATCAAAAATACAGTGGTATGATAACCAACAATGTCACCGTTAATTCATGATATATTCATCAATATTGTATCATGTACTGATTTGTTTATTCCTTTTTTTAATTTTTTATTGCTATCATTATTGTCGGAAAGAATGATGCGACTTTGTTGTATTATTTTTCTGCTCCCTGAATGCTAATCTGATTATTGCATTTCTATAGGTCTACTTTGCAGCAACAACAACACTGCCTTCTCTCATCTCTGCATAGTCTAGACTTTTAACTACACTCACAATGTGACAACACTTTTTTCAATTGGTACAAAACTTGTATTGTTATTTAAAAATCAAACATGAAATATCGTTAACACTACAGTTATTATTCTCTTAGCTACTTTTATTACTAAGTGTTTTAAACAAATATTCAAATTACTACTTGAATAAATCCTCAATGTTTTTCTTTTGTGCCTTATGATGGTAATGTAATGGATAATTCCAGTTGAGAAAGTTTTGTCATATTGTCTGGAACACATATTCCCTTAGTTTCTACCATACCAGGCAGGTCGGTTGGAGAACAGTAAGACTGCAAGGAGGAACTTGAGATCTGAGCGCGAAATCGTCCCGCTGACTATAAGAGGGATGTGAAAGCAATTAGGTTTTTTCTCCAGAAAATCATCATCTGCAGCGATGCCACCTCACGACAGAAGGAGTTAGACAAGGTCGACCCTAAAAATCCCACACCTTACCTTACCCCACGGATCTCCGGTGGTAAGGCCTTTTGAAATTTGGAGATAACACATTCAAAACTTCCTATAAAAAGGCAGTTGACGTATTCAGTTGCCTTTTTGTTGTCTATACCTACGCTCTCGCTAATTGCAGCTCAGATGAAGTTAAAGATGAGTTTTATATTAAACTATCCAATCTCCAAAATGTCCAATGCTCTGTTGTAGTAATAGTGGTAGGCGATTTTAATGCTCAAGTAGGTAGGTTAAATCAATACGCAATGTACTTAGACTGATCTTACGATTTTGCAGCTCAGCGAACCAATAATGATGACCGTCTTTTGCAACTTCGCTTAGATAAACATATGAAGAAACATAGTCTAATATGGTTATCTCCACAATCAACTCATTGATGGACTCAAATAAACCACTTTGCTATCAGCCATAGTTGGAGAGGCTCGACCGAAGACTGCTGCTCATTCTGAAGCACATGTTTGGACTCGAATCATGCTCTAGTACGAGCATGTGTCTTGCTGGACGTAGAAAAGCCGCAGGAAGTAAACCATTTAAAGTTCGACTTTATAATGAAAAAGTTAGGAATATATTTCAGAAACAACTTAGAATTAGCTAATCAACCATACTTGTGATGCCCATAGTGAGGTAGCTTGGTATAATATCCAAAAAGCTAATGAGAACAGCAGTGATATCTACTAGCTACTTAAACTGAAAGGTTAAGAAAAATCTGGATTTCAGCAACACTTACAGAACTAATGGCACTCAAAAACATCCCATCTTGCTCCGAACACGATGATGAGCGCAGGTATCTTAAACATAATATGTTAAAGAGACTACTCAGTAATCATGTGCCGTGGTAGGTAGCGAAAGCAAGACAGATAGAAAAAGCATAAGTGATAGCAGACAACTGTTCTATTCATAGCCGCATAAAATGATCTTCCAAAATAGCACCTTTTCTTGTAAGTGCGTTATAATTACATTTTCATATCAGGTTTTTTGTGGGTATTATAGTAATTTCAATGGTTGAGCTTCAATTGACTCATGATGTCAACCATTATTGATATTACATTTTCATCGAAATTAACAAGTGTGTTATCGATAATCAACATGTTCTTTTGAACTATAAAGCATAATACCACATTTGCTCGTCCATTCACTTTGGTCTGACCTTTTAGTTATATATTAATCTGTTTCTCTATTTACGTTAGGTAATTTTAAGACTTCTTATGCATGAACATCACCCTAGGCAGGCCTACATTTTGGATTAGTTAATGGCTTGATATTTGAAACACGTTTGCATACTGTTCTTAAAATACCAGTCTCTATTCAGTACGTATTAACATCTTTTAAACATTCATTATTTTCATGAGACTGTTACTTAACACCATCTTCAATTATTTTGTTCCTTCTGTCTCTATTTAGTTATCCAAAAGTTAGTTATCACGTTTTAACAAGTTGGATGTGTTCTTTTTTCTGTGAAAATGAATTCTGAATTAAATTAACAGACGAGATTTTCACATAAAATAATTTTGACCAAGCATGATTTTTATTACGGGAATTAAATTAGTTCACCTAATATTAGACAGAATCAAATAAATGTTAGTCCGTGTTCTGAAATATCTTTCTGCTATGTATTTATATAATATACATTTTGTAAACAATGGTCTTTAAATTAAAACACAATTCCATAGTCCTACATCCTTTCACCTATAAATAAGAGTATGTAGTATTACATAATATAGGTCTCTATTATAGAGTGTTATAGTAATTGTTTAGTTTGAAGTCTCACATCATGGATTGGTTTTGATTAAACAGCCATTAAAAGTCAAGAATCACTACACAGCTATTTCCCTTTAGTACTAGACTCATCAGCGCGAATTCATTGCGAAATATCAAACCCAGGACCATTAGGCTTCCTAGTAAGCGTTGAGTTGGCGTCCAGCTATTTAAATTTCTAAATTTAATTAGCTCTTTTCCTGGCTTTGAAAGGCTTTTTAATTAAAGTCACTTCATGACGTGAAACTCAAATATATACATGTGTAGTTAAGAAAGAAATATCACCTTTGTATTCTACTGACTGCATAAATTAGCACATATTTACACGCACAAAGTAACCATAATACGTATATAATTATGGAAAACATAGTTTCTAATGCTTAACAATGAGCTTGTGAAATAACTTTACTAATTTAGTTACATGCAATTAGTTATCCATTTTTCCAAAGTAACCATCAACACTTCATGTATTTTATAAGAATACTTTGGTTGACCTAATTAGGGATCCACCCAAATATACAGCCCTTAACATTCAACGATCTATAATTAATTAAGGTAGTAATTCTTTTGTATACACTCACGAAAAGTGAATTCGAATAATGGTTTCATTCAAAATTGGCTATTATCTTCAATAAGTATTAGTTCTAAAAAACTTGTTTTAATATTGTTTTTTGATATTACTCCCTTATCCTTGATTGTTAATCTTTTTACTATACTGAAATTAGGACCTTCATATTAAGTTGGTAGAATACCAGTTGGATTTATCCTTATCCCAAATGAATGAAATGAGGAAACCTTATCAAGGAGTGGTGAAAGGCTAAGCGATTTTAGAGAGATCGCATGTTATCTCAAGGCCCCATGAAAGTGAGATATGAAAGAGTGGCTGGCCTATCTTAATTATTTGAATCGTCAACCTAACCAAGGTCATCACTACATATTTTTATCAGGATTACTCTAGTACTATATACATAATATATATTTTCATCTATAATCTATATCTTGTATATAATATTGATGCGAACAGAGAAATAAAGAAGAACAACAGAAGCTATTTTTGGGAATATTATCTCATTTGAAAGCATGTAAAATAATAACATTTAGTTTTGTCCCTGGTTGTTTTTATAAACGTTGCCATACCCTTTTCTATTCCAAAGTTATTGTAATCTAAACATAACTTTTTGTGCTTCATCTTACTACCCTAATGCTTAGTTGTGAAACAACTGTATTTTCCTAAATGTTTGTACGTTTTGGTCGTGTCAGTAATCTATATATTCACATATCTTTTTAAATAAGTCTCAATCGGAAATCAGAACTCAGTCAAGCAGTGTTACTAGTTGACTCATCTCTCTCGCTTGTCGGCCAATCGGGTGATCAAATAGTTTTTGTCTCTCGGTCCAAAGCTGTTAGTCACAATTCGGACTCATGCGTTTCTAGCCTCGTGGTTGAACCAGTTAGCCTATCGTGTCAAATATTGAAACAAGTACTCTTCTGCATATTATTGGGTAGAAAGATCAAGGATATAACAGATACTGTTGTCATGAAAAATCAAAACTTTAAAACTAATTATGAATGTTCATATTTAGTCCAGTATTTTGACGATTATTGTTAGTTATACAATCCCACAGTGATTTTTGTCTCATTGTTGATCATTTTATAACAAACCAGCAATCATATCTGAACACCAGCTTTATACTGTTTCCAAATCATCAGAAAAGTATATCTGAAGTTTGAAGTAAATTCAAACCGATTCCTATATGATGAACTCGACAAACTTCATGAAACTTATTTCAACAAAATACTTCTCATGCATGATAATGCATCTACATTTTGATTGCTGAAAACATCCTTCGCGGTTCTCAAAAGACTAGTCCTAGCCTTACATCACCCTTGCAGTCTTCGTATCCCTAACTGTAACTTTTAATTCCCTTATTAAAAAAACGACTTTCTTCGATGCATTATCTTCATGAACGGCTCTCAATATTACATAAATTTCCAGAGTTTTCCACAAATTTAGATAAATTCATATATTCATTAAACAAACTGTATACAACTATAAGCCTACAAGGAAGTAGCCTTTGAACTAGATAACACTTCAGTCTGAAGTGATATTAATGTTAGTTTAAATCTATACATGAGTATGAGTTTCTTTAAAAAAATGAAAAAACAAAACAAAACAGGAAATCAATTGTAATACATCCCTTCAATTGACATCAAATATTTTACACTATCCTATGTTAATTTATATTCATATAGACGGTAGTGAAAGTTAAAACAAATAGTGTAAACAATCAATTATTGAAGTCATAAAACTAGATAATGAACATTGAAATTACTTTTTTTTTGTTAGATCAAACTTATTTGTATGATTTTATCGTAGTAATAAATAAATCATGCGAAACATTTGAATAACCTTTAAGAAAGTTAATGATACTATTCCTTATTGTCTTTGGTCTATAAAATCATTTAACATTTTTCAGGATTTAATTTAATGCATTTAAATTTGTAAAGATTAATAGTATATTTAAGGTTATTAATACTCTAAAAACCACAGTTATAATTTGATATAGAATAGATAGAATGTGGCTAGTGTTATATAATGGTAACTTTTGGGACCCATTTATGGACCAATATTAAACGTATATTATTATTGTATAATTGTTAAATAACTAAACTATTCATAATCATGTCCCTCTTATTATGAGCTTTATTTTGCCCTATAGACTGTTATTATTATGATGATGAAAGTCATATGGAGAAAATAAAAAAAACTTTTGGGAAAGAATACATAAATGCTGTAGAAAAGCATACTAGGAAATAATAACCCTGGCATAATAGGATCTGATTTCCCTTCTTGGATTTATTAAGGATTAATTAAGAATAGCTGTAAAAGCATTAACAATGGAGAACTTGTAGTCCACGTTTAAGCTTCAAGCCCGATTACTTCATATTAGAACCAGAATGTGTACTTTGCTCCATTCCGTTTCTCTAGAGCAAAGAAATTGCATTATTTCACCCACATCATACGAGATACAGAACAGTCTACTTCAAACCGGTATAAATCGAGAAGAATGACCTGAAAATGCCATTTGTATCATTGATACAAATAAATGCTAGGAACTAGCATTTTGCTGTACCAATATTCAGCCGTTTAAGAAAATGATTTGTGTAAATGTTTTACCATATTTTTGAGCATGTATTCAAATCTCTTGAAATCGTAAGATATGACTTTACTCATTTTGCCCTTAAGTACTAATTTCCAACAAGTTTTTGATACTACCAACTACAATAAAACTGATTTTATATATACCCTTATTTGAAAATGTTTAATTTATCCCATTCTTGACTGTTATTTGCCCGTTTTAATTGGTATATGTGTGTTCTGTTAGGATCATTTCACTAAAACCATCTCTTCCGTATGAACTAAGTTTTATATGCTTTGAAAATGGTAGTTTAGGTCCTACTAAGGATTCTTAGTACTGTTGAACAAACATTTATTTCAACCAACCAAGCGACAGAAATTTGAAAAAATTGAGTTCGGTTAAATCAAGTTTAAAAAATATTAACAGGCTCCCAGTAACAATAACAGTGGTCATGTTTGCATTTTAGTTCAAATGCACTCTAATTAACATCAGTTCATCATCTATACTCAAATTATAAATTTACCCCAGCATAACAACGGAATCCATTTTCTTGAAATAAAACCCTATAATTCATTTATTTATTACATAACGTGCAAAAAAGAATGCACACAACCAATTTACTCGAAAGCAGGCATTTTTCTAGGTTGGTTCAATAGACCAAAGAATAAATTCAATATTATCTAACAGTGAGTAGTGAAAGTAATCGAATATCCAGTTAATGTTCAAAATGTCCAAAAAGTAAAGTGAAATATCCTGGATTAATTGAAAATACTTGTTTTCAAACGGTGCAACTCTCTTAGTCGATAAACTTGTTCATTGTTAATTAATTCTTCAGATATACAAATTCACATTAGCTAAAGCTCCTCTAAAGGCGTCTCACGTAAAGATTGATCATCAGTAAAATTGGTTAAAGAGAACTCATAAACCGTTAAATATTAATTTATATCGAGTTAAATTACAGTTTCTCAATTTTTTCTTTTACGACCGGATATCTTGCTAATAAACACTAATAAGCATAAAACATTTGACTTTGAAACTCTGGGAAACAGGCGAAAGCAAACACCAGTAGGTGGATTGTAAATTGTCGAGTGTTACTAAGTTGCCGAAATGACTTCACTTAGGTAGCTATTGAAAGGTAGAAAATACATGATAGCATCTTCGTCCTAGTATTAGACACCATGGCAGTGCACATCCGCAAACTCACCAGTTATCGAACTTAGGTCTCTTGTCGAGCTCCTATTCTATTGACCACTTAGTCGGCATTCAATATTTTAGGCATCAAACTACCAGCTGAATTCGAAGGAAAATTGTTGCGCAATATCGCGAATTGATTGAAGTTATAAATCTCACTCACTGGACGCCAATTTATTGGTTTAAAGATTATATGCTCTCGGTGAGACTTGGTTTCGATCCTTAGTGGGATTCTAGATCCTCACTGCTGGGATGTCCCATACTAGTGTGAAACAGCTATCCAACACTTTCTGGTTTCAGTGGTTGTCCAACTTACATCGGCTCGTGATTTCAGAAAAAAAGAACGCTTTATCGTTTATAAGGTCTTTTATTTCTTGAAATAAGATGCATTCGCTTTTTTAACAAAAACAAAGCAAGTATTATCACAGACAGGAGGTGGACGAATAAATAATGTGCGTGTTCGAAAAAATTTCAATAGAAAAAGGCAAACCTAATAAACGATATAGAAACACAAACTACAACCATAACATTAAATGAATTTTACAAAACTCTTACAAAAAATTTAGGTCATACAACTTGGAAAAAAGAATAAAATACTTCCAAAACAAACAGGACGGATAAAAACCAATCTGAGCCGATATGTTTTAATAAGTTTCAAAATAAAAACGATCAAACAACAAAACAAAATTGGGAAGAACGAACGGGAACAAATACCATAATAACAGTAATAATAATAATAATAATAATAATAATAATAATAATAATAATAATAATAATAATAAACAGGAAAGACGATTTCTATTGAATCTTTTTCGAAAGGAAAAGAAAATAACTAAAACTATAAATTTTTTTTACTATACACACATATGAAAAATAGTTTAACCAAAACCGAAAAACTAAAGCATTTTCCTTTTCTGTTGTTAGCCTGTTTCGCACTGATCCGTTCATTTTTACTTACCTACTTACTAATTACTTACTAATTAACACTTGTTATTTATAATTTAAAAGAGCATCGAATCATTAAATCAAAATAAGCGTCATTGTCAACAGATGCACTGAGACCAGAATAGTAATTGAAAAATTCTTCACGAGTTATCTAATTTCAAAGAAAAAAATTGGAAGAGAGTTAACAATTATGGATAAAATCTGTATTCATTAGAATCTAACACAAATGTAAATCAAACCAAGCTGTCATACTAAATTACAAAAAGGATATCAAATTAATCAAATGCATCGCAATACAGTAGCAGTTTCAGGGATATTAAAAACAATTAGACATTATGAAGAAAGAATCATTTCAAGCAATAAAATTATCTCAAAACCCAGAATCTAGAGGCACACAAAAAGAGAAATCTATGTTGTATAACGTACCAAACCACTGATCGCGTTTACCGCACGATGTATCAACCAAAACAACCAATCTCATGTCTTGGCCCACGCATCCATAACTCTCTTTCAACCTGCTTCTAACTCACTCAACAACACTTAGATGAACTCTTGAACAGACTGGCTGCATTAAATCCACCGGACAGCGAATCAGCAAGCACGAAAATTCCTATAGATATCACTCCATCAATGACGGAAGAAATCAGGATGGCCATCACACAAATCAAGAGTGGGAAAGCAGTAGGACCTGACAATATACAATAGACGGCTCGGAATCAATTAGAAGATTTCTACTACTCAGATGATCTGGCCCTTCTATCCCATAAACATGAACAAATGCAGATAAGGACAACTATTGTAGCAGCAGCCTCTGAATCAGTAGACCTCAACATATACAAAGGAAGAAGTAAGATCCTCGAATACAACACGAAGAAGACTAAGCCAGTCATATTTGGTGGAGAAACTCTGGAAGAGGTGAAAACCTTAATGTATCTGGGTAGCATCATCGATGAACAAAGAAAATTTGAGAACTACCACATCCATCACCAAAAAGGTACAAATATTTATAAGCGCTTGTCTATGCAAGATACTCAACATCCATTAGCCGGATACCATCAGCAACAGCCTACTGTGGGAGAGAACAAACCATCTTCCAAATGAAGAGAGAATTAGTAATAGATACTGAAGGTGGGTAGCACACAAATTACGGAAATCACCAAACTACATCACGGGCAAACGCTAACTTGGAATCGTGAGTGGAAACAGAAATGAGGAAGGCCAGAGAATACACTACGACGGGAATCGGAAGCAGACATGCAATGGATGAATAGTAACTCAAAAGAACTGGAAAGGATTTTCCAGGACAGAGTTGGATGGAGAATGCTGGTGTGCGGCCTATGTTGCTCCACGAGGGGTAACAGGCGCAAGTAAGTAGGAAGTGAGTCTACTCTTCCTTCCCTTATATTAACTGTTCTTTTCATCTTTCTTAACAGTTTGAGGGCGCCTATGTTTTTTATCCCACTCAGGTTGTTTGGGAATAGTCTCAAACCAGAAGGTAGTTAAAGCCCAATAGAACCTCTTAGTTCATTATTTCAATTACCTGGTCTGAGATTGAGATAATTTTTCAATTAATCAACTCACAGTTGTTTAAATATCACTGCCAAACTATATCTGAGTGAACGCTTTCATAATCGATTACAAGCTTCACCAGTTTCTAAGATATACTATCGACTGTTTTATGGTTACGCTAAGCTCTAATAGCTCTTTCAGGTTTTGACTCTTCTATGCCAGGTATGAGGCATGTTTACAGGGAAAAATACATGGGCATGAAAAATCTGTTTGTCAGTAGATCATAGACTGATTATACACTGGAAAAAAGGGTATATGAAGCTAATATGATAAAGGTTAATGCCATAGTGTATTTGCAATTATTGATGTTACTTAAAAGCGAAATCTAGGCAACACAAAATTAAACTCAGGTTATAAATGAACAACAAATATATATCCACATATAAAGCATTCAATTCACCCATCAATGCATAGATATATAGTTATCATAATAGTAATTATAATTATCAATTTTTAAAGCTGTTTTCGTTGCACAAATGACACCAACTAAAGACAAATTGAAAATCACTGATTACTATACAAGACACCCGCAAAGTATTCATGAATTTTCAGTGATCTTACACCTGATATTAGTCAGTGATGAAAACTAACTTTATATTGAACAGCCCTCACAGATATACCAATAAAAAAACAATCTATTCGAACTTTATAGTCTTTGAAATAATGAAACCATATGATTGAAAATGATAAGTAATTTCTTCTTAAAATATACAAGGAATTTACTATGCTTTCAAAGTGTTGAGCATCTTGTTCTTAAACTAATTCCTTCAAGTGTTTCAATATTATTTCTCTCATTAATTTTATTATTCTGTCTTTCTACAATCATTCTGAAGTAAAGACTACATTGTGTACTTTGATAAAACAAAGTTCTACATCTGCTTTTTCAGGTCCTCCTAAACAATGCTCTATGTTTTGCACATCTTCCTCTTATTTAATCTTTTCGTTACAAGTTACGTAAACAATTATAAGAAACAGGCTACTGATTTTAGCCTAAATCATAATTAGTTCAAACTCTGTCCCGTTTCGAGCGAAATTGAAGTAATATTGCAAGAGCTTAGAATTCATTTTATTAAAAAATTAATTTTTATAATTTCTGTTTAATCCTACTTTTGTAAAAACGATAAATATCCCGTTCGTAATAATATAAATATGAAACACTCATTGACTTGCTAAGGAATTTTCGCATACATATATACGTACATATTAATTTAAGATCCTAGTGTATAATGGTTTACTGGGTTATAAAGTATTTACAATTTCTGGTCGCTTGCATTACCGTCTGGCGGATGAGGTGAGACTTGAGCTTCTAACCTGTTGAACGCAAATTCATTCACTCATCTATTGAGCTGTGGCTTGACTATAGTTTGCCAATAATCTCCTACTGTATAAAGGTTATATATATAGGATAAAATCATCATCAACATGTGCATGGTATGTAGTAGGCAATACATGTTACGTTTTAATTTTTACACACAACAAACTAAAAAATTGCCTAAAATAAGTCATATGTATACATATATACATGTATATAAATAGATACACTGAGTAAACAAACTTTGTCCAGTTTAAATTTTATAGGCTTGTCGTATCATTAAGTCGAAATAAGCATCATTGTCAATTGATGCGCTGATACCAGTGTAATAATTGAAAAATTCTTCTCTTGTCACCTGAAACATTTAAAGTTAGCGTTTTTTTGTCTTGCTTCATCACAATTAATATAGAAGAAAGGCGCTTACCTTTAAAATATTAATGGTTAACAATTACGTAAATTGTGTTAAGTAAAAATGTTAAGTAAATCACAACCACCGAGAAATAGCTATTATTCTGAGTTCAGCATTCGACAAAGTTGAACATATATACATTCTCAAAATGTTGGCAAGTAATGAGAAACAATTATTCATTTCTGCATTCGGATATCCAGTAAATGTTTAAAACGGATATATTATTTTTTCCAAACCAATTCTTTACCAAAATATGTCCATTTTTATGGTAGGTAGAATTAAAACAATGATAAATTTCACGTTGTCCCCGTACAAACTCGTTTTTTAAGTTTTAAATTACTACTTTAAAGAATAGATTATTTATACTGAATTATATGATATGATCCGATCAAATGTCAAAGTTGAGGAGCTATTATTGTTATGCATTTGTGATGACAATTGTAGTATGTAATGGCACAATTTTAAAGTGCCTCAAATCTAAAAATCCGAAATGCGCCTGCCACAAGTACTCCATTTTTATATTTAAAGCAAAACATATTTCACCAAATAGCTTTTTGCATCATATTTCTGATCGCTATTTTGAGATAACTTAATGTTTAACTGAACCTATGCATTTTTTCTGACTTCAAACGTTACATCTGTAAATGTAAGATCAAAGCAACTGTAGTGTTTTGAGCATTAAGGAAAGGATTCAAAATTATAGCAATAGTGACAAATGAAATTAAAATGAGTAGGAAAATTACTGACGAAAAATATTCAGGATTTCTGTTCATATTGTGGTCAGAAAACAATATCGTAAGATTTGAAAAAAATGAGTGAATGTAAAAAATATTCATGTTCATAGAAAAATAAAATCATATGCTTAAAACTGCTTACAACTTCATCAGCATTGTTTTGTGGTTGAAATGTTTTTAAAAATTCAACTAAAATTTCATCTTCAGTTTTTTCTCCATTTATAAACTTTGGATGGTTTTTTACATTATACACGCCTTTTAAATCTTCAATCTAAAATAAGTAATTCAAGAAATCAGAGGGATTGTTTGATTAACGAGACCACCGGTAGACAACTTACATAATAGTCAATGATCTCAGTAAAAATGTGGTGTATTCTTGAATATAAATGTAAAATTATTGCACCTAAAAAACTGGACCTAACTCAATGTAAAAAACGTTTTGGCGTTTTTAACTAGTGTTTAATAAAGACTGCATCTAATGTATTAAGTGACATCTAAACTTTTCCTCGAATTCGGATGCCTATGGCTTAGAAAATCAATCACTTTCAATGTTTGTTACATCTACAAAAATGGTCCATTTACATTTGTGAAACCTCTATGATTGCACATTGCACTCTTGAAGTTTTCTAGATTATTCGACTGCAAGAATTAGGTAAGTTAAAAGATGAATAGTTCATAATAACAGGTACTTGAGAACATCGCTTGGTAAATCCGTATTTAAAATCCCATTAGCTTGACATATTCTGGCTTTAAACGTTAAAAGAGGATTATGCTACAGAGAGAAATTGCAATAAATCAAAATAATTCATTACTGTCCTACGATAGGACCATTTGACGTTATATATAGACACCAAAGAAAGTAGTCATTTTCTGCTGAAGCTACCATCATTTAAATACTCAGTACATGAAAAATGTTTAACAAGAATTCAGTCTTTAAGTAATACTGGGACACAGTCAAACTAAATTATTTTAAAGAACATTCATGATATCATTCCTCTATGCACCTTATTACAGTAAAAAACAAAGCATTTAATAAGTGTTCAAAGTAAAGTGTCGGTTTTCCCCAACTGTTAAAATAGTATCTCATTTCTATCACCTATATCTATGAACAACATGTACATATTTTGCTGGTATAACACAAACTGTCACGTTAGAATACTTGTTTTGAAATTGTTTTAAGATTGTAGTCACTTCCATGATATCAATCGCTCACATATTACTAACTGTATCGAAAAAAGATAAAACATCCTAATTACGATAGAAAACTCACTGAAACTTAAAACGTTTATCTTTAAGATATGTATAAATTGTTATGCTAAACACAGTTTCCATAACCTATGATATAATCTGTAGAGGCCAAATAGATCATAGGTCATGAGATTATGCTTTATTATAATGCAAGGTATTAAGGAGCATTTGGGAAATTTAGGTAATTGCAGAAAGCGAAATAAAGATGAAAGTGAACAAGTCTTCAGTTGTACTATGTTAACTTTAATGAAAGTAAGTTATTCTTAATAGTTAATATCACTTTGGTAAAGATATCTAAGACTTTATTACGTTTTGTAAATAAAGGTATGAATCATGGTTGAATTCGAATATGATAATAATGACCGAATTAACTATCATCGATAAAGGTTATAACGATTTCAGTTGAAGTCGAATGATGTTTTATAATTTTGTGAGGTTGGGTGCAAAATATTCTAATTCCACATTTAGAAACCTTACAAATGATTTATTAACAAAATCGAACCCATAACATTCACCTAGGGCTAGTATAAATGACGAGTGAAATAATTTATAAAGGAAACGTACAGTTATTGCACCATCTTTCGTCTTATCCATTTTCAGAAATGCTTTGTTCAGTACGTCAAGCCTACATTTGCTCATAGGAGGCTTACACTTTAACGAATAATCGAATCTTACTCTTAAAGACATAAGAAACTCATCGAAATCAATAAATCCACTCTGATCTGCGTCGATTTCATCAAAAATCTCTTTAATTTCATCTTTGGACAGATCCACACCGAAGTCTTTGCACCCCTTTGAAAATTCCTTGAAATCAAGCTTTTTGTTTCCGTCATCATCAATAATTCGAAATTGTCTATTGTCAAGAGAACAATAAAGACCAACAGTATTTAGTTATTTACCTTCCTATACCAGCTATCCCGGATGCACCACGTAAAAGACACTGGTATCTGAGCTTTTCAATCGGCTTAAGATCTTTTGCCAGTTGCTTTCTTGCTTTTTCTTGCAACAACTTGTCACTCCTTTCTGTTTCCATTACGGGAATCAGGACGCTAGTACAAAAGCGAGCATCGATACGAACCAGATAATTTAATTAGTTAAACAAATTTCGAGTGATTTGACAATTGTCTGATTAACAGATTTCAAAAAGAAACTGAAGTTAAGAAACATCAATTCAATGTAAATGTGACTTAAAAGTTTCATTTATGATAATATCTCCGAATTTCTGGTGAAGAATGAAAAACCTAGTTACACTGAGAGATGTGAAGATGCCACAGATATTCAGTGTTTCACAATGCAGTTGACCGTAACAAATTTTAAATGAAATTTATCGAACCCAGCTAAACTAAAGTCAGGCATGAATGAGCTCGATTATATATCTGGAAGATGGTCGGTGCGTCGAGAATTATGAAGGGCCAGTGAAATGTCATTGAGCCTCAGCCAAACCATCTGGCAGTTGGTCCACTGAATATCAAACAGTTCGTTGATCCCATCTAGGTCAAGGACAACCAGGATACATCAGTTAATCACACTCAATGGACTAACCCATGAAGTGGTGGTCACCACTCTAACTAATATATTTATGTAGTAACGCCCTTTGTGTTATACGGTCTTCAAAGCAGCAATAGAAACTTGATACGGCGAAGGGGTAAACCACGTTAGGTGCTGACCTCGGGGTGTGACTCCAAAGCCAGCTATTGGTCACAGCATTTCCATCTACCCCAAGTAGGCCCTCAATCATTTGACATAAATCATAAACCTAAGAAATGCGCAGCATGGTTTAATCAAGAGTGATCTGGCGAGGATGCCTGATTACGCGTCTTTAGTTAGTATGTGCCCAGTAATAAATCTCGGTTCGCCGTGTTATTCTTCGGTTTCCCCTCATTTCCAGATGTCCCGGAAATGAACAAAATGTAAATGTGAGTGCAGGTAGAAATTCACTTTTCCTTGCGTAAGGAAGAGAGTCGTAAAAATGCTGTTAATTCTTCGGTATACATGCACTTGATTTCTTTTATCCAGTTATAAGACTTCACGAATTTTAAAAATTTATATTATATTCAGGTTATTTCCACACATATTGTCTTATATAAAAATGGTATTTTTGGTGTTATATTACTACTAAACCTTCAAGTTTGTTATCGTACTGACGTTTTAAATTACATTGAGCGATGTTTCACTTCATCCACCTAAAGAATAACACATTCAGAAATAAACAATAATAAAAATCGGATTATATAAATTGACTCGTATATACTTGAATTATAAAAATCTACTTGAATTTACAGCTGTCACCTGTACTGTTAGTGGCTATCTGATATTTGTGCATCTAAAGATGTCACGAATACTCGGGACTAGACAACGCTTTTGTCTATAACACCCTTTCAATTGAAAGACCTAGTTTCTGCCAAACCCAAACTTGGGAATGTGTATTTGGAGGTTTGTTGAGAAGCCTTTGGTCTAAGCTGTTTAGTCGTTGCAAGATATGTGTGTAGTGAACGTGTACTGTCATTGGTCCTAACCACACAGTCTTCAAAGCTAAATACGAGATTACTGGGAAAATGAATGTTCAACAATTAACACGAAAAGAGGGTCAACAGTGGAGAGGGTAGAAAGCATTCATTCAATTCAATCAGACGGCATGGCTGAGCCTTGCATATGTGGTCATTTTGTATAACTTGTATTTACTCGCATCAAATATATTACTCTTTCTTTGGCTTAAATGTGTTTTTTAGAAACCCGCAGATATATTGCTTGTTGTTACGATGTAACAAGTCAGAATAGACAATAATGCGACTTCCACGTAAGATGTCATAGATTAAGTAGTCACATGTGGTGTTTGAATGAACTAATGATTCCTTTGTACTCTTTGAGTGCTCAATTTCGAATTTCAAACTCAGTACATTCTTTTATGATTTTCAAGTACTTCTTGATTCACTTGCATTATTCCTGGGATTCCTGGTTCGTACTATAACTAAAATACTCCTAATTATCATATCACATCATGATAAATCTACATATTTTGGGGTTAGGTTTACTATTATAGCAGTACTAATAACGAACTACACCATAATTCTATGACTGAAAACTCGAGTAAAGGAAACCAATTTATCGTTTAGTGCAAAATTACAGAGGGTCTTTGTAAATTGTGGAAACTGTACAATAAATGCTTCATTCGCACATCTTTCATCAGTTACCATTTACATTATTTATGATTTTTTTTCAATGCTCAATTTCATTCTGTCTCCTTTTCTGTTTTATTCAGTCCAATCTTATCAGTCCTCTTTTCACAGGCATTCCATTTCTGATTGGCGTGCGTCTATCAACGTAAATAGCATACGCCAAATCTGTAACACAGCGTATCCACTCGTGGTCTGGTGCGGATGTGTGACTGAGCGCATCCATTCAGTCGTGTCCAGTAAAACTAATGATCTCTGCATCAGTTTTGAATATATACAGTAATATTTAATTGTGAGACTTACTTGCCGCTACAGTATAATCACACCTTTTAGGGGTGTAAGATCCATTTTAAATGTTCTGTGTGTAAAAATCCCTCCGTGTAAACACCGCAGTTAGTTCCTACTGATTCCTGTAGATGTACATTTTGTAAGTCTTTTTATTCCACATGAGTTGGTAATACTTGTATTTTCTTGTAATTTTTATTTTTTCTCACGACTTCACTAAGTTTTTGTAGTGACTTACTTTTATCAAGAGAACGATATTGGTGTAATCGAAACAATTATTATTATAACCAATCGTACCAGGGATTGTTTTGCCGTACTTGTTTGTTTATCTGTGCAAAAATACATACATTCTTCCGTTGATTGTGACCTTGCACGAATTCTGTTGCGCTCAGTAACCACACTTGTGACCTGGGACGATCTAGGTATTCTTTCAATACCAGGAGATCGCTAGCAAATACATCTCGACTGCAGCCAACAACTGCCTTCTGATATTTGGCCTACGGGGGATCTTATCGATCAACTGGCACGTAGTCTTCCTGTAGTGGTGATCATAGTCAACCGCGACTCGACACCAGACTACAACTGATGAGCCAAATCTGGGAACACGTCTCAACCTCTGGAGAATCTCCCAAAGAAGACTACTGCGGTGAGTCTGTTATCTATCTATCTACTTTTATTGCACATTTTCGTACTGATATTTTTCAATATATAAAATCCGGACAACATCTGATATGGTAGATAACGATAAGTGTGGTATTAATACAATAGACTCCGATGTACGCGTACCGAATCTTAGGCGTCTCTCATTCGTGTGACGATATAATCCACATTCTATCTGATAAATTCCCTAATTAACTAAACCACTCGAGGAGATTCCATAGGTGACCAATCTTGTGATAAACTACATAGTCACCCTCAGACCCCCAGCCACGACAAAACCTTGCCGACTGGCACCAGACAAATTAGCTTTCGCTAAACGTGAGTTTGACAATTTACTAGCTACTGGTATTATTCGTCCTTCTCACAGTCTCTGGGCCTCACCTCTTCACATGGTGCGCAAAAAAGATGGGGTTAGTTGGAGACCATGAGGCAACCATCGAGCATTAAATGTAGTTACACTCTTTGATAGCTATCCCATCCCCCACATACACGACGTCAAGGCATCGCTCAAGGGCACGACCATCTTTTCTAAGATCGATCTGGTACGAGTATATCATCAGATCCCAGTCGCTCTTGATGATATCAAGAAAAATGCTATCACGACTCCTTTTGGTCTCTTTGAGTTCCCGCGAATAACATTTGGATTACGGAATGCTGCTCAAACTTTCCAAAGGTTTATTGATAGCATAGAACGAGACTTAGATTTTGTTCACATCTATATTGATGACCTGCTAATCGCATCATCAAACGTAGATGAACATTATCAACATCTTACACTATTATTCCAACGCTTTTCAGATAACGTAATAGTGTTCAACACGGACAAGTGTGAACTGGGCAAATCGGAAATAATGTTCTTACGTCACATCATTAAGCAGGAGGGTACTTTACTTTATAAGGACAAAGTATGTGCAATAAGGGAGTACACCATACTGTCCACACTCGAAGAACTGAAGGCATTTCTCGGTCTGGTTAGCTTCTATCGACATTTCGTCCCACACGCAGCAGAACGGTTACGATCATAAACCGATTTACTTCGCGGTAATCCACGCAAATTAGAATTGAACGATACCACACGTACTGCATTTTCAGGGATCAAAATGGCTCTGGCTTAAGTCACACTCCTTGCTCATCCCGACCCATCAGCTACGCTTAGTATAGCGGTTGATGCATCGGATTTTTGCTATAGGAGCCGTTATGCAACAGAACATCTCTGGTAATTGACAATCTCTCGAATCTTTCTCACGACGCCATACTCCCACGAAGACGAGATATGACGCTTTTGGTCGAGAACTACTAACAGCCTACCGTGCCATCAAACATTTCTGGCACATAGTAGGTCGCAATTTCATTTTATTCGCCCACCACAAACCCTTAACATATGCTCTACACATCAAGTCTGACCGCTACTCACCACGAGAGTGCAGACATTTGGACCATATCTCTCAGTTCACGACAGACCTTCGTCACAGTAAAGGCAAGTCGAACTGTGTTGCTAATGCTCTGTCACATACCTAAATGAATGCAGTTACTTCACCGGTGCTTGATCTTCCTGCTATGGCTGCCGCTTAAGCAAACGATCTCTTTTGTACAGAAGCACCACAATCTACATCCCTTCAGTGCCAGGACGTACCCGTAGCTACTAGCTCAGGTACTATCTTATGTGATACTTCTACCGGTCTTCCCCGACCCATCGTATTCTTTGCTTACCATCGTCTCGTCTTCGATGCCCTGCATGGAATGTCTCATCTAGGTGTCGCAGCTAAATTACGCCTCGTCGCTGCATGATACGTTTGGCCGTCCATGAATAAAGATGTCCTTATGTGGGTAAAGAAATCCATACAGTACCAACGATCAAAAGTGCACAGGCACGTAGCTGCCTCCATTGGCACGTTCGCCACGCCTGATACTCACCTCGATCACGTTCACATAGATATTGTGAGACCACTGCCACCATCG